ATGTGGCTAAACCCGGCTGATCTGGGGTATTGATTTGCTTGGCTGAGAACTGGACTGCTCACGCCGAGCCACGGCGGCCAACTTTGCCGCATCATAGTACTCCTCCTCAGCGAAAGAACTGGACTGGAGCGCGAACTTCTTGCGTAAGGGCACCGCCATGTGTAAGGGTAACTCACCCGCTCCTATGAATCTGGATAGCATGGCCATGACCCCGAAAAAATGAATGACTGCTTTCCGAGAAAAAACAAGTAAACAACAAACAAAACATGGGGTTCTTCCATGGTTTTGTACAATATGTTTCCCAGATTGGAACGTGTAACGGTGTAGAAGACTTGGAAGTGACAAGACTTGGGTCCAGTCTAAGAGTCTCTAAAATTCGCACCGTCTCGCTGCGCTGCCCGGACGAAGAGCTGTGCGTCGCGTACACGCGAGACTCAGAAGGATGTTTATAATGCGTTCACGGTTGTTCTTGGCTGAGAAAAACTCGACCTGGTTCTTGGGACCATGCACCCAGGAAACTGCACATGTTTCCGAGCTGGGGGCTGAAACAAGTCATGATACTTGGTCTTTCTTTGCATCCAAAGGCTCATGGACAGTTGGTTCGGTCCATTTCAATCATTTCACCCTATAGTTGTGAGGGTCAAAACCCGAGCAAACGGGTTGGGTCCTTTCGATATGATTCGAATCTGCCATGTTTATTCCGTCTGCCTTGAAGAGACCAGGGACCCACCAAATGGGACGCACCGATCATACCCAACCACTCCATGGCGGCCTGGCATAGGCATGCTTACACTGGGAGTGGTTTCATGGATCAGGCATGGATGCGGCGTGGATGGGTACCAGCACCAGCGGGTCAAAACCTGATCACCCTGGACACCGGAGACGGAACGTCTGTCAATGTGAACCGAGGCGAACATCGAAGGCAAAAACCTCCCACTTCGCATGTGAATCATCGAAGTGAATGATTGAGGGTGAACGGTATGAACGGTAACGGAACACCTGCCAGTCCAGTCCCTAGGGATTGGACCCTCCAAACCTATATACATAAGAGTGTCTCCAATCATCTTCTGAGAAGGTACTTGGATCCCCAGGGAGTGTCCACAACCATAGTTCAAACAATTTTAAAAAACATCCCAACTGGACTTCTCCGGCCTAGTGTCATTTAGTGTCCTAAGGTAATCCTAACATCACTCATATGTCCTGTAAACCTAACCCAATCTTCTTGCCGGACAACATTATAAATTCAACAGAACCCAACATGCCCAATGCATGAAGTAGAGCACCACCCCTTTAAACAAATGGAAAATCAAGCACACCTCAAGTGTCTTGTAATGATTGCATGAATTCCTACTCTGGGCCCTATACATTTATGGATTCGGCCTAAAAAGCTACATGGGTTGCAAGTTCTAATCATTCTGGATGCTCTGCTTCCCTCCTCTCCCCTTTCACCATTGGGCTCTGACTCCTTTTCCTTTTCTTTCCCACCCTTCTTGTTGCTTCCGTTAAAAACTGTCTCAAGATCTATCCACCCCCCTGCCCCTCACAGCACAGCCCAGAAAGCGCCCGAGGCACCCCCTTCTTCTGCACGAACTTCTTCCCTGGCTGCGCGAACTTCTTGCCTGGCAGCTTGTACTCCTTGCCTTCCATTCCTCAGCCCACGCGTTTGGGCGCGAGAAGACAGCTGCACGACGGTCAACCCAAAAGCCAGCCCCGCACGTCACCCGGTACGTGGGCGTGCGGCGAAGTTGGTAGTGCGCAGGGCAAGTGACATGGAGCTTTGTGGGAAACAACAAGGCATACCAACAGAGGTTAAGCGACCTGAACTAGGACCCTACCAGGGTACCCAACTGGGATATCCTAGTTCTGGTTCTTCAACCTCTGTTGGTACATCAGCGACGTCCCAACAATAGCCCATAGCTTAGAGCCTTAGAGGTGCCTAGGTGCCGAGCTCGGTGTCCATGAACCATCCCCGCAAACAGCGAGGCCCAGGCACTCAGTTCGTGTGGAACATCTTCGAGTGAGGTGACTCAGGAGCTCCGGTCAGACGGAAAAAGGCATCCACAATGGGGTGCAACACCACTGCAAGTTGGAACACCTAGTAGTGCCAGTGTATATATCTGCTTCCAAAGAAACCACGGACTCAAAAGAGTTGGATATTATACAACTCATGATGATCTATAATCCGAGGGAAGGCTATTGATGTCTTGCCTCCTTTGCTCACAACAAACCGCCCGTCCCCGTTTGGAGAAAGGAAGATGCACGGAGCACCACCATGCCAAGCTGCCGTGATTCAGAAGCAAGAGATAGCCTCGGGCGGCAGCCAAGCCGCGGGAAAAAAGACCGCGGTGTCCGATGTGTCCAAACACATCCAAGCTGTCTGGGACTGACAAACTGACAGGTTTATACAATTGGATTTGGGTCCCTCAGTTGTCCTGGAACATTCAGGTCAACCGAACTTTGCACGGCTTGGAGTGGGGAAACCAATCTGCCATAAAGCTTATACAGAGGTTAGGGGTATTGATTGAAAAGGGATGTCAATGTGGGTCAATGTATAGTCCATAGATCATCGGTCCTTTTCCTAGCTATATATATTACCAGCAAATACAACTTTCACTTTTTTGATCGCACCCAGTGGAAGCTTAACTTCAACATATTACGGTCTCCAAAGCATCCCCTGGGCCGATGCCTTTCATCAGATCAGTTGAGATTCGTTGTGTTTTTTCCCCCCTGAGGTGTTCATCCAGAGGGTCTGAGCATTGCTCCTTTCGTCGGTGAACGCGACTGGTTCCAGCGACTGCGTCGTGTCCGTGCTTCGGCGCCGTCTAGGCGGGCGATGGCGTTCTGGGCGTTCCGGATCGATCCAGATCGGAAGTTCCAGAGACGTTGCCAGGGCAAAATGTCTGAGAGAACAGGAGCAAAAACGAAGAGCCCAGAAACAGTCTGAAGCTGAATTGGTAGTCTCCTGGCCTATTTTCTAGTCGCAAAATCGCACACCTTAATATTTTGATTAGGTACATCCGGAAAAGTAGATATAAGCACAACATAGCACAACAGATCTTGCAGCTACGTCCATTAAACCAAAAGAAATAACCAACACTCTTGTTTGCGCTTGTTTGATCCTTTTCTCAAGGACACGGCATGACACAGCCACTCTCTTCCGCCAACTACCCACACATACCCACGACGAGCTCTGTTCCGAGCTCGGTGGCCGTTCTTTCACGAAGACGACCGCCTCAGGCGAGCCGAGTGACCGTGCGTCGCATGCCGCCCGATCACCACCACTTCATGCTGCCCCTCCCGCACCATGGCGTTGGCAGCGTCGGGAGACTCCAGACGCGCGCGCGGCGTTGACGGCTGCTGAATGAGCGGCCAAAAAACAGGAGAATATGGTGACGTTGTCTAGACATGTGTCTGAACACTGTTTTTGTGGGTCTCGGATGTAAATGTGTGAGCGTGTATTTGATTGTTTTGCATGTTCTATGTGTTTTCTGAACTGTAGCATCGCAACGAATCAGATTCGTTCCAGCACGCCGGCCATGGAGACGCCTTCTGCATGACCAGTGGAGACCTCATGCCCCCAGAAACGTTTAAAACAACGACGTGAGGAGACTGGAGGAACGGATCTCACATGCCCAAAGCCAGGCAGTTGTGACCAACAATCCGTTTACGATATGTTCCACTATATCTTCCATATACTGTGTTGCTTGTATGTTATGTGTTTAAATGCAATTTGCGGCATATGCAGCACATGGATTGTGAGCATGTTCATGTTAGACATGTTGAGTCGAAACATGACTATCTACCTGTGTCCACAAAAGCGTCTGCATGTCCTGTCTTACTTGAAACCGGCCTTTCAGTGGTGTTCCCCACAGGGGCAAATGTGTCGGTACAAGGGCCACCTTTCGAACCAGCTGCGGTGTGTTCAGGCCGGTGAAGCAAATCGAGGCAGTTGAAAAAGCTACCAGGGCGCCCAGGCCATGGGTTGTGCCCGGCGAGGGGTCTCGGGGATCTTAGGGTGTCCATTAACCAAACAGGGCGCCTTGGTACAGGGCTCCAAGCAATTCCTGAGAAGGTAGGTGGACCCCGGAACCCAAAGGCCCAAGTTGAATAGCTCTCCCAAACGATCTCCATGACACCAGTCTGCCAAGGTTGAAACAAAACCTATTCCCAATGTCACCATGAATTCTCCATGGTCTCTGAACCACTTGGCACCTTAGTCTCTGAGTCTCTTTTGACCAAAAGTCCATCCCCAAAAAGTACATCGACATAGTCCACTTCACCATCTATCTATCTGGCAGGTTTGGGATCCACTCTTCGGCCCAGCCACCATCGAGCTTCAGTGCTGGGCTTCGATAGCAAAAGGTGGCTTCGCTCAGAGGTGGTTCCGATGATGTCCGATGCACCAACAGTAGACGAAGGGAAAGCCATCGCCCAAAAGGTAGCTTTGTGCACATGCCAGGTAACTCTGCCCGAATCTATTTGGCGAATTCCGCTAAGACATTACATCTTTATCATGCAAAGTTCCAACAACACTCGATGTGTTCACGCAAGGAAACCCACCCCCTATAGTGATGATTTGTTGGGGGAAGATCTTCTCCCCACGATGATTCTTCGTGGCCACTCTGGTAACATCCGCTCCGCTCCGCCCCCTCGGGTCTCCGCACCGCAGGAAGACCGGCTCGGACTCTCCCGTGGCGATGCCGAAGGTCGCCGCGCTCTTCCTGGGAGGGACGAGCTCGTCTGCGCGCGCGGCGAGGTCGGCAGGGTGCTCGGTCCCGACGTCCGGGGAGTCCAGAAGACTTGGTCCGACCAAGCTGACGTCCGTCTTTGCTCCATGCTGATCCATCTCTGCACAGGGGGGGCGGCATAGAAAATCGCGTCTGCCCAAACATACGACGTCAAGTGGAGAACAGGATTCAGTAAAGTGATGTAAAGTGATAGTTATCGCTTCATTGCACCTTTTGGCGGTTGCTCATCCCATAGGGTCCAGGTACCTCCTCAAAATGGTCTTGGAGGTGAAAGTACTTCCAGAGAATGGTCTTGGGGGGTCAAAGGACATCCTCAGGATGGCCCTGGACCCTTAGGGAATATAATCCATCGAGTGTAATTGGATCAAGAAATTCACGTGTCCTTTTTCACTACACGGCAGAGTTGAGCTGTGGCTGTGCCATGCTGTGGCATGCTGCTGCCGTTCATCCCAAGCTTCCCCTCACGGAAGGTCCCGGAAGGGTATATATTACGGTATGCTAAATGAACACGTCCACAGCACAAAGTAGAGGTCAACAAACTCACCTGTAGCATCCAAACGCACACAACTCGCTGGATTGGATCTTTTCACCACTACATCTCACTACTCCCCCCACTTCCAACCCTCGTCTCACTACCTTTCGTTCCAACGTCCGTTGACGATTCCGCGCTCCACCGGCGGCGACCCGCTCCTCTTGGCGTCATGAAAGCGCTCGCGCAGCGTGCCGCGGAACCAGCGGAAGGGCTCGTCCAGGAGAATGAGGCCATGAGCTGCGAGGGCGGACTTTTCAGCCGGGCAGATGACCGAGGGACACACGTATTCAACGGGGGCAACACGGTGCAACACGGTGCAAATCGCAGATTGGGACATGGCAGAGTTGGCAGCAGTGTTGAAACATGTTGAAACTGAGTTTGGAAGTAGAAAAGTAGAGGGGAGTCCATCGGCAAGCACGGATTCCTAGCTTTAAATGAGGTTTCAAAGACATTGATGATTCATTCCTCATTCCTCCACACACTGGGCGGCTGGCACCGCTTCTTCAGCCCTTTTCGGTTTCGGCGCTGTGACTCCTCTGCTTTGTACACGGTGCCACAAAACGTCAATCGGAGTGAAGATCGGCTTCGCGCGGGGTCACGCGCGCGGCGAAAACGCTGAGGTTTCAGCGTTCTCCACTGAAGGAGCCGTGCGTCTGGCAAGTGGTGAACATCAAATCATTGCAACATATGGTAACTCCCTGTATGTATTATATAACAGTGAATTTCTGCAAACCACCAGCTAGGAGTCATATCAGCTAGTTTTGCAGTTCTGCTGGTCAACTTCAAAAAAAGTGATTGATAGTTCCCGGGCATGTCCATGGGTGCTTTTCTCAAAACCCGAGACTCGCAGGATTTTATACTAGTGGTGCCCTTTGGAGTGCTCCACTACCAGAAGTCATGACTTTTGGGACAATCAGTGTGTCTTGTCCTCAAACTTCTTGACGATTTGGACTCCCTAAATACCACGGGAGGACAAGTAGACCAAGACCGCTTGGGGAGGCCTATTCTCTTCTGTCCACATATGCAGAGCCAAACTGGGATATGTTTTCTTCTGTGTGAGATGTTGAGACCTAGTCACTAAGTCACTTCCCACCACATCGTAACATACCATGTTATGAATCGTCTTTTTGCTGCTTATTGTAGAAACGTTCCGTCATGTGCGGTTGTGATGAACAAGGGTTTGTGATGCAGCCATACTACCGGTACCTCTATAAGCCTTTTAAGCTGCTGAAGGGTACCTGGGGATTCCTCTCGGACATATATGTTAAGAAGCACAGTGTTCCCGGAAATTCCTGGCTCCTATCATGCGCTCCTTGTCGATATCTGATGTTCTTTGGCTTTGTTTGAAACTCACAACTCAAAACGCATGGCCTTTCACCTAAACTTCGTGAGACTCTTGATTATTTATACCCCTCATCAATAATCCAAAGGGGGTAAGTGTTATGCATCAAGAGTCTACAATAGAGCCTTTCCCATAGGCATTCCTCTCTTTCACCGAACATCTCAGCCTGGGTGGCCTATGGTGGCCTAGTACATCCTAGCAGTCCTAGCACCTTCAACCTTCAATCCACCTGAGCATCTGTGCGGCATCCCATGGGGTCCCACTTTCGGAGACCGCTCCGGCTCACCATTTTGGGGTGGAACTCACCTCTCCATTGCGGCCGGACTCGCGATTTATCCATCCCGGCGGCGGCCTCAGGCCGCGCGTTTCTTTGAGAAAATCCTCTGAGAAACGCTGGTTGAAGCCCAGAGTGTTTGAGCAAGTCAAACGTTGTCAATCGACCGGTCTTGGTCAGGCCAGCAACATCTCCCTGCCCGCAAACTCCAGGACCTGCGCCGTGGACGCATCCGCGGATGCACGCGCGGCCGCGGATGCGCCCGCGGACTGGAACGCAAAAAAGGGATGGAGCGGAGTGCGAGAGGAATGGTGAGGTTAAGTGATGCCATTTTTACATGAACAAATACACCTGCACCTGTCTGACACATGTAAGAATGCGTGATACATGCCCGGGGCTGTTCACCTGGGGGTATTCCCTCGTTTCATCAACAAAATAAGTCTGTTAGAGGCTATCCATGAACACTTCACAAACTCGCTGCAGAGTTTCAGATTTCCAGTGTCGTTCTCGGAGTATAGGTGCAAACAAACTTGGATGCTTTCCCTCCAACCCTGGAACTCCGCGCACGCCTTCCAAAAATCACACCGAAAAGCTTCGACCAACTGGAGACAAAAAAACACCCAGTAACACCACAAAAAGAATGACAAAACCCATATAGAAAAGACATGGAAAAGACATGACCACACAGCGCCATCACGTCGCTTCCCGCGCGCGGTGCTTTGCCGCAGCGCCATCACGTCCGACCCGGGCATCCCCAGAAGCGACAGACGGCCTTCGCGAGCTTTGACTCCAACTGGAAGCGTTCGCCCACGGGCGGCAGCACCTGCCCACCGCGAAGGACGAGCCGGGCCGGAACGCGAGCGTTCGCCCATCTGCAGTGACGGACAGGCAAACGGACCCAGGGGTGGTTGAAAAAGGATGAACAAGGGCTCAAATATGGCTCGATATGCGGTACTGCAGAGACGTGGCATAGTGTATCATATTGTGTACATGGGAGTGCCTGGGTCATGAAGCGACTCACAACAAACTTAGCCAATGCGCATATATCAATTTCCAAGTAGGGCATGTCTGCACAAACACAAGGTCACGTGCGGGATTCCCTGCTTGAATCTTCTGAGTCCCAGAGTGAGCAAGATTCAGTGCCATAAGGAATGCAATGAGTTAAACTTGCGTTCAAAGCGCCGGTAAGAGTTGAGGGCTTGCAGTTCGTTCGAATGTGTTTTTCTAGGACCACTGAAAGAATCAGCGAGAATCAGCAAGAAATCTGAGCTTGGGACCAGCAAATTGGTGCAGGTGTGTGCCGAAGGAAGCGCCTGCCATGTGGGCAGGGAAGTTGCTTGGAAGACGCCTTCAAAGGAAGAACGAGGCAACAACCCAAACCCGCTCCAAAACAAACTTCTCCCTGTCTCTCTATCTCTCTAGATTGGCCTATCCTTCCAAAATGGCCGCGGGTGCCAACAATGGAACTTGCAGGTGAGCAGCCCCAAAAGGTACCTTGCTGAGCAACAGGAGAGGACCCAACAAGCTCAGGCTCTGGCTCGTCCCAGCACGTCCCAGCAGCGTGCGGCTGCTTGTACATTTTTGCTTTCCCACGGATGGTCAAGAGGTCCCTATATAAGAGTATTCATCAGCCTGCGGTCTGGGCCCCGGAAATGGAAGCCGGGACAACAGCCCAGAAAAGCGCCGCCATAGAAAAAGACCCCTTAGATCTTGAACAATTGACCGTTTTTTCCGGTTTTACTTTTCACCCACATCAACTGCTGGAAAGGAACATGTACGCTTCATAGGTCCGAGTCTAAGCCATAAAGATTCTTGGATCTTCGTGGTGTTGAAATATTGCAAACCAGGTTTTCCACCCCGTCCCCGAGGTTCTTTTTTGAATTTGGCAACTAATACTATACTCACCTTCATGACCCAAACACCCACAGAAATCATGTCGGGCAAGCACTGGGATTCCCCTCCACTTGGACGCGGAAGGGCAAGTATCGTCCTGGCGGTCGAAGAGGGTTCGTCTCCATCCCCTAAGACTGTAGATGGTCGACTGGAGAGACGATGAGAAGCGGTGTTTCTGGGTGTTGCAGCCTTTTTCTTGTTCAAGTGTTGACTTTCTTTGAGTCCAACACAAACATCTGATTGGGATCTGAGGAAAAGGTCTTGAGGGGAAATACTGTAGCTTAGCTTTTGCATTCAAAGGATTGCTGAGCCCTGAGCTACTTGAACAAAACAATAAAAAACAACTTCCGAACCGGGCTTCCTAACAAGAAATCAGAGTCCAAGTTCTCTGTACCAGGACCCTGCTGGCCAGGCTGTTTGGAGACCTGACCACACGTGGTTTCTAGACACCTGTTGTCACCAGGAAACACCTGTACCGGCGCCCCTAGGGCCCATGCTGTCCACTGACTCTCTCAGTTTCCCCCCCAAGGGTCCCCGCACGGCGTGAAAAAGTCGGGGGGGACACCCACCTTGTCCCCACCTTGTCCTGGATAGGAAAAACCATGCAAAAAAGAACAGAAAGAACCCGCCCTGGTTCTTCAGTTCGTGACCTAACTTGATCCCCCTTGGACACTGTGGTCACTGGTCGAAGAAGCCACCTCTATCAGCCCCCGGAGGCTCCTTGTGGATCGCGCAAGCCCTGCCAGCCGCATGGAAGCACCTAGAAACAGGGTCTAAACTGGGTGGAGGAAGCAACAAACCAAACTGACCAGGACGATGCCGGAGATGCCTGGAAAACTAAGTTGAAGTTGTCCACCTGTTCTTGTTGAGTCTGGAAACTAACTCCCCAAAGGGTTACAACATGTTTTCCACTGACTGGGTAGGAAGGCCATCTAAAACAACCCAAAACACCGGGCTTCAACACGCTTTCTGAGTTCACCTGCCCTGTTGGACATGCCCCCCAAAAACAAGTCGCAGAACCCATTAAACATGTTGCAAACACTCCAGTGCGCATTTTCCTCTCAACATCTCCACAACACCGTTCAAACAACCCCTGGTGGCATCTCGCATTGTGGGACGTCTCGAACCCTACTCCCTACTCCCCCACACCTATCGGATCCTGTCGGTCGCAGGAGGGGGGCGAAACGCCGGGCGAGACTCGCGTTTGGGCGTGCAAGGCGGGTCACACTGGAACCCGTCACGAAGGCCAACATCTTGGAACGTGCCAAGGCCGACCTCGGGGGTTCGAAGGCGCCATGGGTCGCCGGTCGCTGGAGTGGTTGGCTTCGCCCGCACGTTCTTCCGTTGGACCATGGAAAAGAAAAATAATGGTCTTGGACGTCATAGTCCTTATATAGTTTAAAACACGGTAAAACAATGGTCGTTTGCTAAAGACACTTTGAATCATCTTACATCGGTTGGAATCCTGGGGTGTACCTAGCACCTTCAATGGTAGGATAGCCCCCAGGAGCCCCTTCAGAGTGACCTGAAGGGGCACCTCAATAGAAAGCACCCTAATGCGGTCGTGCGTCTATGTATATTTGTAGGCAATACATCCCTCTGAATTCCCGCATGGAGTGCGTCCAAGGGAAGTCTAGAGAGGTGATCCGGTCCTAGACATGTGATGGGCGGGATGGGCATATCCAACAAAGGTTAAGTGACCGTAAATAGGACCCGTCACCTGGGGTACTATACCCTAAGGATCCAAGTACCCTCTGAGAAGGTGTTTGGGGTGAGTTTGGAGGGTCCAAGTACCTTTTGAGGAGGTACTTGGATCCCAAGGGATGGGATAGGGTTCTTCAACCTCTGCTGGATCACCGGAGTCGAGATCAAACTGACGTCGACAGATCTCCCGACCAGTTGAAGTAGTTCTTTCGGGGTGAAACGTCGGTAGATGCCTGCCAATCATGTCTGGAAAACAGTTGCCAATTCTGGCACACCTGGCGCAGTGGAGAGCCTTACAAAACGCTCAAAGACTCATTGGACCTCCAACTGCTACGGTTCAGTCCATTTCACCCGGACGGTTGTGAGGGTCCAAACTCGGATGCGCGAACAGGTTGGGTCCCGCCACTGAGGCTCTGGGTATCGTTGGGTGGAAAGACGTCGGGTCTCCAAGTGATTCCAAGTGCCCAATGAGTCACAACGATGGGGTGCCGAACGAACCCAACGAAGGAGGATAGGGCTGCCCCTGTCACATCCACTCACTGGATGGAACTCAAAACATCTAACTCCCATCCAACTCCATGTGACTCGTGGACTACCTGGTGTTTCTTCGGTCCAAAGCTCGCCCGAGGCGACCGGAGGGTTCCCATGCAGCGACTCCACGAGTTCGCGCGCAGAGAACGCTTTGGGATGGGTCTGGGACGACTTGCTGGACGCTTGGTGCCAGGCTGGGGGGGTGTGCTGAAAGCCGATCGCATGGCTGGGCGAACACCGTGACACCGTGACACCGTTCGCCCCACTCCATCACCACGAAACGACCCGACGTATCCCGACGTGACGCGCCCTTGTCGCGCGAGAGACTGCTTGCGGAGCCAATCGAAGAACCAGCCAACGACCTGCGATTTCCAACGACAGTTCGCCTTGACCTCTGAGGTTGAAAAGGCTGTAGGTCAAAAATGGTCAAAACATGTAGCCGTAACCCATAATTGATGGTAGGTTGACCTATATCCTATATGAATTTTACGTGGTCAACCAAGGTTCCCAGGATTTGATCGATTTATGCCCTTCAGGCCTTTCACCAAACAGGATTGCAAACATATTTCAGCACATATCACAAGTTATCACAAGCATCTCTGAAACGCCTCTATGGGTCTGCTGCGTCTGCTGCGGGTTGCTACGGCAGTTCTGAGAAGACTTGGCACATTTAGGCAGTCTTTGAGGGTCTTTGGTGTGTAACATGGTGCAACCAAAACTGTTTCAGTTGCTGCTGCATTGCTGCTATTGGCCGGTGCCCACAAACAAAGTGGATCCAACAGAAAGATCCTCCGCTCCAACTCATTGCCGAAGCCTCAAAGAATCCAATGTCCAAGCAAAAATCAACTAAACCACAAAAGAACACCACAAGTTACTCTCCACTGGGAGCCCGTGGCCGTGTTCCGTGGCTGTCTCCTGCCTCTGGGGAGCCCTCAGTGATGGCGTTTTCTTCCCATTCATCGACGTCCAACTCGTTGGTACCGCCTCGGGTCCACTCGACACATCGACGGTGTTCTCCTGTCACTGTCGCGATGGCTATTTCGCTGTTTCGTGGCGTGTGACACATCGACATCATCGAAGGAAGTCATGAAAGATGCATAAATTAAGCCATTGTACCGTACCACTTGAATTGTTTTGAGTCCGTCTTTTCAACTTTCTCTATCTAATTACTTGGGTCTGGATAACCCTCCTCCCAGCAGGGGCATTCAAGAAGGAAAAGGGTGATGTTACTGGTGATGTTATAATTTATAATCGTTTCTTAGCCCTCAGCGTAGCAATGTTGGCTGGTCTTTGCCGCACTTTCCGTGGCTTTTGTCCAGAACTGCTGTACTTTGCAGAAAGAACACTCAGTCAGTGGTGCTAAGATCTACAACAGTTCGCTTCTCTCAAGTCTAGAAGTGCTATTTACATCGATTTACTTGCTACATGATGCGAACCTTCTTGGAAATTGTTTAATCGGTGCTGAGCTGTTGAACAACTGCTCCAGTCTTTGACCAAACGGCTCTCTCACTTCAAACAATTCTTGAAACAAAAACTCCAAGGTCCGGAAAAAGGTCTCTCGCTCAAATGTGGGATGCAAAGAGATGATAGAAACAAGACCCGCGGTTCCTTTGGGATAAAAGTGCGGTGTTGAATTCTATTCCCAAAATGGGCCCTGTGGGCCCCTAATCCCTGGTAGGTTGACCTCCCTAGTCCAGTCTGTTCATTTTCGATGGTCAACCTACCAGGGATTTTACAAACGGATGCCCTGCATGAGCTGCAATGGAGCTGGAACGATGGAACACTGGATGCCCCGAACTGATGCTAACTGGTCTATGCTTTTGTCTACCCCCCCCCCAAAAAAAAACAGAAAACAAACACACACAAGTGGTGTAAACGGTATAAAGGCTGCGCACAATTAATTGGACCTTCAGTTCGTGACTTCAAACTGAAGTTTATGACAAGTGACCAAAAACACCAGGACTACTCAGTTCAGCCACGTGGCTGTGTGGTTCGGTGTTTGGCTAAGCCATTTTCCTACCAGTCCGGTCCAGCCTACCAGTCTCAGCCGTCAGTCTGCACCGGGCCCTCCGGGCAAATGAGCATTCGCAGCTGCTCCGCCTCGGACCGCCCGAAACGAAGCGAGACGAACGAAAACGAGCCAAGAGTGTGCGGACGGTTCCGCGGCCGGTGACGTGGGGCGATCAGGTGGTCATAGACCCATGGAGATGGTTGATTGAATGTTGAATAAAACCCAGACAATGCATCCAGTCTGACAGTCCAATGATGTCCAGTCTGACAGGGTAACACCTGTGTTCTTTTGCCTCCTTAGTGTGCAGTGTGAACGAGGTGAACTTGACCAACTCCAGTAAAATGAGGTCATTGACCTGTAGGGCATGGGTACACCATGATTGTGGCCAACAAAATATATCGCTCCACGGTGATTCGTACGTATAAAACGCCCAAGGCCACCTCTGGAAAGGTCCTTCAAACCCGGACCTTGACACAGAAAGTTATATTGACATGACAGCAAATTCCAAACCACTTGAGAATAAATTCCATGAGACTTGTTGATGTTCCCAACCACCAGCATTCCATCTTAGCAGACCTCCCTGTAGCTTTGCATGCAAGAGGTGCGAGTGTTCAGCACAGGGGTGAGAATTTGTTTTGAGGCAAAAAGGCATACGTTCCTGCCTATGGAAGGAGGGTGTGGAGAGGAAGTTAGGATACTCTGCGAAGAAAAACATGACTGTAGCTCGTGAAAAACACAACGTGAAACATCTCTTGTCTCTTGGGCTATGTCTAGATCCAGGGCCCTAAATGGTCTTAGAAGCTTAGGAAGGTTCGGGTGATTGATTCTCTATCTGGAGTCGTACATAGATCATATATGTGCTGCTTTCGGTCCTCAACCGATCTCGTGACCTTAGACGAAGCACTACCGAAGCGATTCGTGCACTTCTCTCTACCCAGTTGGGTTGTCTCTTCTGCCCACACCCAAGGTCCCCTGGGTCTTCCGACATCTAAGGAGCTTGCAGACAACAAATCCTGCCCAACAAGTACGGTTTGTGGGCCAGGAGCCCTAGAGCTACAAAGCATGTGCGGAAAGAACAACACAAAAACCACTAACAACTGGCGAGCATTCCATGTACCAAACATGTGGATCTGGGCTTCTGGGGCCTGGTCCGGTTCCTCCAAATCCGGTTGATGCCGAATGGAACTTGGAACACCTTGGGAATTCTTGGTCCTGCATAGGGACGACTGCCACCAATTCACCAATCCCAAATAACCCATGATAACCCATGTATGACATATATATATATATATTGACCGACATTAGGGTGGTTTGAGGGGTCTGACGTTCGCAATGTTGAAAAGATCCGCTCCCACGAATTGATCCCAGAATGATTAGTCAATTATTTAATATATACCAGCACCCTCCAACAGGTCTCCTTTGGAGGGTTGGTCTCAATTGGTGTTGATGCATTTGTTTGTTGCCTGGAACTGATGCCACCACCGAGCCGATGTGTGTTCCGATGGTAGGCTCCCTGAAAATGCAACTGGAAGACCGCATTCGTCGGGGCGCCGTGTGGTACTTCACACGAGCACAACTCCACATCCACCAAGTGCCAGTTCGGGATGCGACGGGTCAAAGCTCTTCCAACTCGGACACAAACGGTGAGAACTGGCCAGCTTGCTTGTGGATGTTCATGCAACGAGATGCAACGAGGCAATTGGAAGAAGATTCAACAAGAGTCCATTTGAGCAACATGAGGTCTTTGAGCAATGTCGCTGGACACCCTGTGTTCAGGAGGGACACAAAGTAATGAGTTTCTCTCTGGCAAATTTGGTTTGGAAGAATAGTTTCTCTGTGGCATGGTCAGCAATGGCACATTGGCAAAGTTCCATGGATCTTGCCAGATATGTCCATCGGATGCATTGGGTAGCAGCTTTGCAGGCAGTGTTCGTCACCTGCAATCCAGTGAAGATTCACTTCCTGCAATTCTTACTGAACAGGCTTCTGCACAACCTGGGTCGCTTGTTGAACTTGCTTTCGCCTTAACCGGCTTTCGCAAGCTAGCTACCCCAACATATACCAAAACCTGTGTGAAGGATTAATGACATACACCCAGTTCACTCACCCAGTTCACACTGATTCACAAGTTGCAACGTCGACAGGCAAGCCTCAACTTCGAGTTCCCAAGTGACTCATCACAACAGAAATCACTCGATGTCACTCGTCCGCGCGAGCGAAAACACCAGGGACCCTGACAGCCTGACGCCACTTCTTCGAGCCAGACATCCCTTCGAGCCAACCCGCCGCGTTCGGTCGGTCGTGGAGGCCTCAGGAACCAACTCGTGAAAGCCCAACATCAGGCCTCCGGTCCGGCGCGTCGTACCGCGAAGCGACGCGCGGAGGCGTGAGCGCGCGTGACGAAGTGACGCGAGATCTGGGGTCTTCTTCCGGTTTTCCGATGTTGGGCGTTCTCAAGCAAGCCAAACAAGAAACAAGACAACGGTGGTGATGATTTATTGACTTATCCTCATCATGTTTTAAGCTGTTTTCAGTTTAAGACATTAAAAAGCATTAAAGCTATTGAAAAGATTTGAAAAGGACGTTAATCTGCATGCTGATGTTGGTCCTGCACACCTGGCACACTTCTTGAGACACTGTTTGACTGTGGACCGGCTGTTAGACCCACGAAACACCTGATCTACACCGATGATGTCAACCACAATGTATGCTGTGTTGCTTTCTTTTTGGGTGGTAGGCCAGTACGGCTCGCCCAGCGTTGTTTGGTCTGTTTGAGCGTTCACCTGTTAAGACGTGCGACCGGTCAACGACGTGTGACCGACCGAAGCAGGTCTGGAGACCTCGCGTCCGCTCGTCGCGGACGTCGAGGTCGACGCGTCGACGCTGGGCTTCGGCACAGCTGATCTCCGGGCGGATGGAGCCGATCAAGAAGTCTTCGCACAGCAGCTGAGCATAGTCCTGGGCGTAGAGCGTCCAGCTGCATCCCTTTGGGAGCCTAATAATAGAGTGCTTTTGTTTTTCCCGAGGAGTAGAGTACTGCAGGAGAAAGCTGTTCTCTTTCAATGAGTTGTTTCAATACTCGGCTTGCAAAGCGGGTTACCAGATCGAGATGGCGCCATGTCACAAACTCTGGATGATCCTCCAGTCACCAGTAGAGCTCCAAGCTCATCTTGTCAACTCAACTGCCACGAAATCGGGATGGGATGGGTCTTGACCCAACCCCCTTGATGGCGGGTCCAGAAGTCCGGAAGGCGTGCTGTTCACGGCCGGGTTCCTCGGTTCCTCTCCCCATTGGAATAGCTGTTTTTGTTGCCGCTCACGGCCTCGTAGGGTTTCTCTATATGGAAACAAACGTTAAGCGTTTAAGTGGTGCGCCGAGGCTCGGCGCTGACCACCGAATTGGGTCCCTTTTCGGCACGGAGAACTGGAAGATCCACACGGAAGATCGATCGATGGGATGAAAAACAGTGGAAAGAGAGACGCGGCTTCGATCGAAGATCGGAGATCTACACTCTACACTTCCTGAAAGAAGCGAACATGGCCAACCTCGATGGGAAATGGCCCTGGAGACCCGGATGAAATTCGAAGATCAAACAAGTACTGCTATCCACAAAATTCATAATTTGGCCCATCATGATTTCAGGGAGTGTATCTCGCAAGAACCACCCCAACCTGGAACTCCTGGCCAGATGCTTGAAAAAAAACATCTTGCCACGGTCCGACCTCCCATCTCTTTCTTTTTGATCATGCAACGTTGTATGGCCAAGATGACCTCAAGATCAAACCATTGTGTTCCAAATGAACGAGAGTCTCGGGCAACTGAACCAGTTCCAAACTCTCTTGGAAACATCCACCCAATCGCAAGCGTTGAAGGCCATGAGGCAAAGTGATTTGCTCCAAACTCTGATCAAACTCGTCACCACAAAGCAAACTCTCAAGGCTACTGGGCAAAGTCACGTGTTGCAAACTCTGGCCAAAGCTGCAGCCAAGTGAGAGAAAGCGCTGGGCCACAACACTCGATCCAAAGGCTAGTTGAATTGGCCACTCAAAGTAAGACTCTCAAGCTTGACTTGTAGATGGACGCCTTCCAAACGCTGATTGAACTCTTCTAGAAAAGCCAAGTCACTCTCCAGGCTTTGCGGCCAAGTCACTCTCTCCAAGATCTGGTTGAAGTCCCATCCAAATTAAAGACTCTCCAGGTTGCAAGGCCAAACCACTCCTTCTAAGCTCTAGTTTAAAGCTCGCACCAAATTTATCACACCCACACAGTTGCATGCACCTAACCTATGCCCATAGGTGGTTATAACTGCATTCTTCAAAAAGAAGACTTTCCTGCACGCAGCGCAAAGCTGCATCACAAAAATACTTTTGCAAAAGAGCAAGCTGCTGGGCAAAGCGACTCGCTCCAATTTCTGATTAAGGCGACCGCCCAAGGCCAAATTCCAAGGGCCCTCGGGCAGAGTTACATCTTCCAGACTCTGGTTGAATTGATTGCCAAAGGTCAGGTTCTGGATGCATCTGGGCAGAACTCTCCCCTCCAAGCTCACATCAAAGTTGCCATCAAACGTCAGGGTCTGGAGACAGCTGGGTCATTGTCTTAGTTGTCTCACTTGATTCAATGAGGACACAACCTTTGAGGGCGAACGACTCAACTGGCAAGCCTTGAATGTACACGCCGCCTTGAATAGCCTAGCAGATTGATATATCATATATATCTTATGACAAGATCGGACAAGCAAGGAGACTCGGCAAGAAACCCTTGGGCAGCAGCCGCATGGGCTCGCCGCCGAGCGACCGGACGTCGTCCCGCTCGCGCAGAGTCGTCCCGGAAAGCAAGGAGTCGTGCTTCTTTCGACCAGGAAAGAGCGATAACTTCCAAATTGCATAGATTCCCAAATTTGGGGGTGCGATGTATTGATCCAAAAGCCTGCAATTCCAAGCAACCTGGCACCCTGACCACAATTCTTCTCCATGCAAGCCGTGAACCTCAATGTCCAGGCCATCATCTTCTTCTACCAAGCCGCTCATGAACACAGGGCTTGTTGGTGAACTATCACAATATAATCTTGGACGAAGTCAGCCAGTCAAAAAGGCAGCGCGATGAACTTTGCATGAGACATGCTCTGAATGTATATTGTGACCTTGCTTGAAGGGTACGCCAGAGTAGTTGACACATTGACCAAAAGGACTGCCGAAGTCAGGTGCACACACCATCGAATCTTAAGTCGGTTTTCCGCTCAGACCGATGGATGGATGAATATGGTGAGTCAGTTGTTCCTAGAACGAGACTCCTTGGCTTAGGACTGTCGCACGGTCAAACCCCTCCCTTTGCCCCAAAACCATGTATACTTTGGCAACCCGAAGAAATTCCAGAGCTTCGTGAACTCATGGGCTCATGTTCAGTGACAAATGTACTTGGGCCCCTGTTCCGTCAAAAGCGCAGCGGTCAAACTGAACTATGGATTTAAGTTGGGTACATGTTTTCAACATGTTTCAACATCATGTGGCATCATGTGGTGGACAATCGAACAACCGGTACCTGCAGTGCAACATCGAACTATAGTTGAACCACTGAAAGACTGTGTGCCGAATAGAAGCTGGTGACCGGTGGTGTTCAGTTGTGTTCAGATTCCGTTGTTTAACTCTTCCTGGTCTTTGGTTAGACAACCTTCCGCGGGGCCTTCCCATCAGAAGACATCTGTTAGAGCGCAAAGTTGTCTCTTGGCAAACCATTTGGCACCCCATCAACAAGAACACACCCTCACACACACAAACCGCAAAACCAAACACCCTGGCCCTAACCCCAAGGAAAAAACGTTCGAGAAGGCTCTTATACAAATAGGAGCCCCATCACTTGAAAAATAACACGCTAAACTTCAAGAGCCCCTACAAACCCACCATCGCGTCGTTCGGTGTTCTTCGCTGCAGGGCTTCACGCCCATGCTTCTTCGATCCAAAAGAAGGAGCCTAAAAGGGACCAAGCTCTCAAGCAAACACCGCTTCTGCCCTTACCGCAGCCAAAAAAGCAAGAGTGGCGCAAGCACGTTCTCCGAGAGCGGCTCGTTCACCAAAAGCGGCTGTCCTCTTTGTTCTGCTCGGTGACCAAGGTCGTGTGGCCATCGGGCATCAGCCTAGAGCGGCTTGGACTCGAGCTCTACCAACAGAGGTTGAAGAACCCTATAGGCTATCCCAGTTCCGTACGCTGGTTTTCCGGGTCCGTTCGTTCAGGTCGCTGAACCTCTGAGCTCCAAAAAGGCTGGCCAACACACAGAAACTCCGTGGAGCGCCGAGCGCCGCCATGTCCGCTGTCATGAGGGATGTCCGCTGTCGAAGGGGACACATCGAGGGGGTGGGGAGCACCGAAATTGGTACCGAAATCAGTGGTTCACGAACCGGGGGCGTATCCCCTAATCAATCCGTAGTAAAAGGCCCTCAATGCTCCAAACTGCATCTCATGCTGTCCATGTTTGCTTTTTTAGGAATATTGAGAATCCTCACACTGCACGGGACGAGGGTCGGCCTCTCGTCTTAAGGAACAAAGAACCTCTGGCTGGCAGACCTGGGTCCCAAAAGTGTCTGCGCTTGCTTGGTGTTGAACCCTGCCTTTCTTCACCTCCGAAACCAGGAATCACGAACTCCCCCTGTCTATCTCTCTCCACTGCCGTGCCGTCGCTTCCAGACCATCCTTCCTGCCCCGGATCTGCGCCCAAAACACCCCCACGCTCGCGTTCGGCCGCCGTCGAAACCGAACGCTCGTCGGGTTCTGGGCGCGTCCGGCTCCCGGCCATCGGCGCTGGTGAAGGTCAAAGGATCCATACCTCGCGGAGCGAGGCATCAGCGAGGGGCGAAGCGATGCTCGGGCTGGGCGGCCGCAGGTGGGGCGGGGACGCAGGTGGGCGGAGTGAAGGAATTCGATGATGAGAAGTAGCAGGGGAACCCGGGAGAATGAGGAGGAAAGGTGGCCCGTATTTTTGGGGGTCGGAGAAGGGAAAGTGGGGGTGATGGAGATGAGATGATCCAAAGAAGCAACATGTGCAGGAGCGAGATGGAGTAAATCTATAGACAAATGACAAATGACTAATTGTAATGTTTGAAACACCATGGGGGTCCATGTGGGGGTGCCAAGCATCTGCCCAGAAAAGCCACTTTGGAGCTTGATCCCCCGGGTCTTCGGTCCATGTCCGTGGGACTCCTTCGGTCACCGGAAGTTCGGGACTCGTCACGAACTGAAGGAACTGGCATGGAATGCCAGAGGTAGAAGAACCTGGTTAAGCGACCAACAGAGGTTAAGCGACCTGAACGAACGGTTAAGCGACCTGAGGATACCGAACTGGGATAGGCTAGTTAGGGTTCTGACCCACCTCTGTTGGTTCTTTTTTCATTTGTTGAGACTTTTGAGGGGGTTGGGAATGACCCAAAGGAGGGACACATTTCAACACCACACGCCCTTTCTGTCGCCCTTAGTTTTCCCCCTCCTGTTTTACTTTGAGTCGGGGTTCACCCATTGTATTTGCTTGGAGCTCCTGTTTATTTGTAATCTACCCTCACCTACTCTCTCGGCATGTTTTACATTCGATGATCCACTAAAGGCATGTTTCTTCCTGTGACTCCAGCTCCTCTCAAGGTTTCATTCCTCAGCCTCAAAAAACACTGCCTGTTGAAGGGGCATTTACTTTTCTATCTATTTGGAGGTCTTTATAGGGCCCATCGGGTGGTCGTCGCCACGTCTCGTCTCTCCAAGTGTCGGAAACTCCACCAACTCCACCCACTCCACTGAGCTACGTGCATGTCACGTATCAGTCAAGCGTGCATTCCCCCAAGCGACGTGCAACCGGGGGGGGATGACATCCCCCCCGCTGTACATGCGCAAGTCCGATGTGAATGCAGCCAACGGAACCCGTGATGTCTCAACCGGACACAAAGATGAAATCACTTGAGAAATCACATCAAGTTGGTTGATTACATCACTTGTGTCAAGTCCATGTGTATGAAATCAACGCCCTGATGTCTCAACCACCCCTGGCCGATCTGATCGGCAGTCCCACGGAACTCATCGTCAGCTGGGAAGGTGTCGAACGGGTGGCGAACGGCAGACGACGAAGACGACACGGTCGGTCCGACTCCACCGAGAGGCCCCAGTGTTTGAGCGACGTTTGTCTCTCCTGGCACAGCTGAAGGGAAGGGACGATGGGACGATGGGATGCGTGCAGCTTGCGGCAAGAAAAACACGATGAGACGTGAATAACCATGTTTGTTCACCATGTAAAACCCCTCAAAATTGGTTTCGTTGAGACCATCAGGAGGTGATGTTGAGAGAGGCTGGGCGACGAGGCAGCCACGGATCCAGGAAGCCTTTGAGCCCCTTTTGAGCCTGGTCCTCTAGGTCTGGTATAGGCTGTTGGGACGGGGCCAACGGTGGTGCATTGATGACCCACAGTTGGAGCGGCAAGGATGAGAATCTTCCATCCAAAGGCCACTAGTTGTGATTGTTGATGCGGGTTCATGGCCAGCTCATCCATTCAAATCTGCAGCATTCACATGCCTTAACTCAAGTCCAGATGATTTGGCCTCATATTATCCTAGGCCCCCAAAGTATAGATAACACAGTGAAGCTACTGGGGAATTCCATGAGTTGGCTCCAAGTCCATGTCTAGAGCTCCGTTTTCACCTTCTGACAACCTTTCTATTGCCGTATACCATGAAACATGTCCACTGGCGGCACACTGGCGGTTGCTTTGCGCATTCGAGAAGAAGCCCCCCACTGCATCCCTACTAGAAAGAGGTGTTCTACGCTTCACATCTCTTTTAGATCCTCTGCAAGACCACCAACTCTCAATGCTTTGAAAAAACGTGTCCCACATGACATGCGGTGCTCAAAATCCCCCAGCCTATGCTTCTCTATACCGTTTAATGTTCTAATTACACTGACTATATTATCGTGTTGCGTGTTGCGTACTATGTATAATTATATATACTTATCGTGTTGTGGTGGACGGAGCATTCTTCTGACAAAACGGACATGCCAAGATTACGTTCCAAACAAACAAGCTTTAAATCGTTTTGATACCTTTTCACCGACCTTGTCTGGCCACCATTCACATGCCAACCTTCCTGCCTGGCCTCGCCTCCGAACCCCCCACCCGTCAGGTGGATCGGTCCTCCACACCACCGGGCTTCAGGATCGGCCTCACCTGGATGGGTTCACGTCTCGGCCAGGAAAAGACCAGGAACTGCCATGGACTGCCGAGAAACGGCCAGGGGTGGGTGACTGGGGGTGGTGGGAACGGCATAGAATTCCAGTCCCATGGACCGTCGTGTCGTCGTGCATGGGACGAAGAAGGGGGACGTGGTTCGTCTCACCGTGATTCGTCACTCTCACCTCCGGGCCCCGCATCGTCCGCATCCAAGCGCCATCCACGCGATGGCAGTCCATGGGAGTCCCATCACAGTCCATGGTCTCTTCACTTTTCTGGGGATCTGTTTTCGTAGCGAACGGACCCGGTACGGTGAGGACGGAGACTATTTATGTAAGCCAAGGGAGGGCCCAGTCGTATCTTCTGAGGTTCGGTGGCAGTGGATCCATAGGGACTGGTGACCATTCTATATTTATATGCTCTTTAATCTATGGTCTATAAATATGAATGAACATAAATAAGACATTACCAAAATAATCGTGAAGGAGCCCATCTTTGTTATTCATTTATGTTCTTTAATTCGTAGGCCATATTTCGCAGTCCCATGGCAGTTCCATTCAAGCTCGCCTAAAGCTGGGCTCGACCCGCCTGTCCTCACGACACCGCCTGCCCAGCTGGGCAGGTCACGGCACGAACTCGCCAAACAGGGGCGCCGAGCACGGTGGTTCCAGAAGTCCACATCAAGCCTCAGCAGGAGCCGGAGCCGTGGGGTGCGATCGGAGGTGAGGAAGTCGGGGTGCCCCTGTCACTCACGGTGGACGTTTCACACCACCCCGACATATGCCTCCTGGGAGCGAAACAAGGATAATCCCAAACCGAAGCACATGGTCCGGCCAGGTTCGGCATCGGTGTATACAGTGTATACGGTGTCCTGGTCAAGCGTTGTATCCGTTTTCTTCTGGTAGGCCTAGGATGTCTAGACAGCCTATAGGATGGCCTAGACACGGGACATCATGTGATTCGTCTCATGACTCAGATCATCTCAGATCCACCCAGACGCAACTCAAGGGACTGCCATATGATCAGTCTAGGGGTGCTGTCAGGGGTCAATGGGGCGGCATATATTTCAATCCAATGGATTGTATGGGATATGCATGGATTATATATGCATACTTCTGCTCCGATTAGAGCTCCTCACTTTGCCACCGAAAAACCGTCCCACTCCACACGGCGAGTCCTGGTGACATGACACCGTCTGGGGCCCCAAGCTGTCGCACATCGCCGGGGCGAAGAGGGACGCCTCGTCGCTCGCGCAACGGGTCCGTTGGAGGTCTCCCTTGGGGAAACAAGATCAGAGTCCGGGCCCCCCCAAAACAAAACCCTAGGGATTCAAGATGATTCAAGTACCTTCTCAGAAGGTGTTTGGGGTGGCTGTGGAGGGTCCAAGTGCCTTCTGAGAAGGTACTTGGATCCCTAGGGAAAGAAAAACACACATGAAAAAAACAGAGCAACCACTGAAAACTGAGAAGGGAGATCAGATGAAGGGAGTTTCATCTTGTCGAATCAATCGCTACGACTGGACCCTTTTTTCTACTGGATGTCTGGCGTGCCAGTTTTCCTGTACCTGGGGTGTCAATCCCTCCAGTCGCGAGTCACACGGGTGCAGAATCTGCAGGGGGCCCGTACAAGTGGTCCCTAGGGATCCAAGTATAGTGCCCAGGTTCGGTACGACTGGACCCTCCTGGAACCTACATGACAGTGTCGAACACATTAGCGTCTGAGGTTCGGTACGAAAACGGATCCCAGAGATGGACTGGATGGACTGGAGACGGACTAGACAAAGGAGTTGGGTCCGCCATCGATGCCGTTGGTCTGACCAGGTGTACTTAACTCCGGTTGAATAAAACACTTGCTGGGCTGGGTAGTTTGACATATGATTGGGGTACATCAATGACGATCAATGTAGGATCTGAAAAACATGCATGGTTGGCACAAAGTGGGGGAAACCATGCAGTTGGTTGCTGTGACTCGTGACTCATGAACGCAGCAATGTGACAATGTGACAGTCTTGACAAATTCTACCTCCAAGGGATTGAAATTCCCCCCCAAGCCCGATCTGGTCTGCGGATGGAAGGACTCTGGCCACCTCAATGCTCAAAGCCGCAGAGCGATGTCTGCTGGTATGCCTCTTCACCTCCACAAGATGGTAGTGACTCAAATAAGAGGACCTAGCGACCCGCCCGTCCGCTCTGAGTTCTCCTTTTTCATTGACCGCCTCTGATTCAGGACCCTCCGGATTGGATTGGGGCTTCTGGCAACCAGGGCCCTCCGAATCCATAATTTATGTTTTAACTTTAACGCACAAATCCCCTTTTGTTTGGGTATTACTTCTCAATACTTTCAGTCTCAACTCTTAAGTGCATTGATCTTATTCAACTATCAACTCCAATTTATGATACTTTAAGTCTTAAGGTCTTAAGTCCATCGATCTTATTCAACTGTGAGCTCCAAAGTGTGTTTTAGTTCTTAATGTTTTAAACCGGCCATATTAAGTCTTAAGTGTTGTTAGTTCTTAGTATTTTTTTATAAGTCTTAAGTGCATTGAAATGCATTGAATGCCTGAGTGCCTCAACTCCAAAGACACAAGTTACCCTAACCCGCTCTTGAAAGCACCACTTTGGCAAACGCGATGATGTAAAATAATTTGGATGAACAATGTGAGGGTAAACATTTATGTTCTAATATAATCTAATGTATATACCCAGACGCTCATGGACCCTCATATGGAGGGGTCTGGGGTCTCAAATCCTAGGTTTTGAAGGACCAGTCGGGCTGTGAACGGAGCGTCTGGGTTATATAAATGAACCATTTGAACGACCCTGCTGAATGGGGCACCCTTTGCTTGTCCGAACTTTCCACCCTATCATACCCTGTGGGGCTGGGACCCCAACCTCCACGGCGACGCGGCACGAAGACGCCACGAACGCGACGGCCGCGTAGGCGCTTAACGCGGCCCGTGAAGGACGCTACGAAGACGCATTCAGAAGGACTAGACTAATGACGATCATTATCTATGAATCTATGCATAAATACATAATACGTTTAACAAACATGAATGAACAATTAACCAAACGAAAGCCCATCTGAGTGATATATGTCTCTGGTCTCGCCAACGCTTCCGCCCAATAACCATGCTTGACCAGGAGGACGACCGGAGGACATGGACCGGATCGATGTTTGGCTTTCCGCCTAAGATGCACTTGAAGACCAACAGGGAGAGCTGGATCGGACCTGAGGACGTGGAACACCCGGTGCGGAACAAGGAACCGTTTGGTTCGACGGGTGGTGCTTGCTGCGCATCGTTGGGCCAGGCATTGGGGCATGTTTTGTGGCAAAAGCGGTACTTCAACCTGTCAGTTGTCTTCTTGGTTCCTTCGCCAAGCGAAGTCACCTTCCACAAGCACGCTGGAACAGCATGTGCAGCTGAGGATCTGCAGGGTCTTGGGGAAGCACGGAAGGACGCCAACCGGCAGGAAGTCAAGATCGATTCGGCCAGAGCCGACCTCCCTTTCGCCTTCGAAATCGATCCGTGGAACAATCAGGGTTCAACCAACGCGGCAAACCTTCGTCCCAATCCCACCCAATGAAAGGTGATCCATTGACTGTGAAGGGAAATGTCTCACGTCATCTGGTATGCGCGTGGTTTGGTACCTCGATGCACCGTGATGCTGGTTTGGTCCCTGCATTTCGACACCACCTCGATACGCAGGTCTCTCTGGTTTGTGCATGTCCAAGCGGCACGGGCAACGGTAAAGGAAGGCTAAGGCCAAGAGCCTCCCCAAAGCCTTGGTTGCGAAACCGAAGCCAAGACCGAAACCAGATGGAGAACCGACTGCACACGAAACACCGGAGGGTCTAAGAACCGACTTGTCGTTTCTCAAGGACACCTCTTGAGGCCTTTGGTGGGGTCGAGGGTGTCTTCTACGTGAGAACCATGCAACTTAGGTTGCTACGCCCATTGCCAAGTCAGGAAGGCAAAAGGGTCAAAAGGCCCCAAGGCCATCTATTTATTGTCTATACGGGAGTCGGGAGTGTTTGAAAAATGGTGTTCGTCAACCTCAAAAACATATTTGCACAATGAACGCTAGCTGTCACTAGCTCAGCTTCCAAGTGGAACTACTGTTGCACTTTACAACCCACGATTCCTTCATTTAAAGATTTTACTTTTGATTCGGGGCGCCGAAATGAACTGGGGCGCCAAATGAACCCCTTGACAAACCAGAAAATTTGGTTATTTGAAGTCAGTATGAACCCGTTCAACCCAGAAAATTTGTTGCTGAAAAGCACTAATTTACTTGACAGGGCGCCAAATGAAGTCAGTAATTATGAACCCGTTCACAACCCAAAACCAATGTTGCTGAAAAACACTAAGTACTCCACCCAAAAGGCCTCAAGGACCTCAATAATGAGTCTTATATCTTACAAAAAACTTAGAAACTTAAAAACTTGTTGAAACCACCCGGTTGCTGCCGAAAAGTTTGTATCCCACTTGTTGGATGATTTCATTCCTCTTGACCGTTTGTCAGGAAAAGGTCAGTGACAGGCAGTGACAGGTACAACCGCCCAGCTCAAGATTGTTGGATACTCTGAAAGACATTTTTAATAAAGCCTAATACACTTTGTTGCAAAGCTTTATTATAGTCAGTGTCAGGTACCATCATCGATCTCGACATTGAGACTTTCAGCACGGCTGAAAAGCCTTTCAGGCCAAAACTTTTGCTGAAAAGCTGGTGTTATTGTTTGTCCGCAGCTGAAAAGCGCCCAGTCAGTTGAAAACATTTGAAAACCATAAAAACTGAAAAACTATGCCTCTTAAAATAATACCATTTATTCATTCATTCAAATTTCATGAATGATGTCATTTTCTGAAAGCTGAAAAGCTATGACTCCCTCAAACTAATACTTAGTGCTTTTCAGCAACAAATTTTCTGGTTGAACGGGTTCATACTGACTTCATTTGGCGCCCCTGCAAAAACTTAATCGTGCTTTTCAACAACACATTTTCTGGGTTGAACGGGTTCATACTGACTTCAATTAACCAAATTTTCTGGTTTGTCAAGGGGTTCATTTGGCGCCCCAGTTCATTTCGGCGCCCCGAATCAAAGGTAATTGTTTTATTGGACATTCACCCCACTGGAACGTTGGTTGGAAGCCAACCCGCATACAAAAATCATAAGGGGACCAAAACAACTGAATCCCCAGTTCGTGTCGAACGGAGAAAACATGCATGCATTATCTTTGCCAGAAACCATCTCCGTGACTTGCCAAAATATCCAACATCAATTTTGCCGCACTGGGAGGATCAAGTCATTGGGCACGTGACTTCTGCCGTTGATTCCCCGGCTTGACTGCAAAACCCGCTGGGGTCTTGTCCTTGTGGAGTGAAGTTTGGCATTTACCCACCGCTTCATCATCGACAAATTTGGATGACATTGATGCCCTCATGTGTTTCCCTTGGAACACAGGCTCACGGTACCTTTTGTATGTTTGTGAAAATCATTCAAAACTCAAAACTCACTGCAACTGTTGTTTCCTAAGCGTGCAACACAACCAATACTAAATACGATAATCCCCCGTACCTCGCAAATGTAGCACAACCGCGCTTGTCCGCTCCCCCCCCAACCTCCGGATCCAAAACTGAACTCGTGGGTTCCGAGTGCGACATTCTCTATAAACCCTGGCATTTCGGTTCAATAAGGCGCCTACAAGTACAAAGAGATACAAACAGCGGTGCCGGACCTCAAGTCCGTCATTCATTGATGGGCAACCTGAAACACACGAGGAAACTTACTCACTCAGCGCCGAAGGAAGGGAAAACGTTTCGACAAAACAAGTGTTCGATGTTTAGATTGTTCTTTATAAGGACACCAATTTAAAAGAACGCGTTCCTTCGTGGGCTTTGACAGGGTATCTCACACATTATCAGGACCACGCCCCTTTGACGAACAACATCAACCACATACCCCACATTCAAAAAGACTGCCCATCGTCTTCAGGAGGGGTCTGTAATTGGGCCACAGCAACTCATACAGAATTGAAGCAAGGGTTCTTGACCGCCCCCCCCACAGGTCAACTAAGTCTTGCTGTGAACTGAAAGTGGCGACGCTGAAACTCAACTTGCTGCGAGTAAGCCAATAAGATGCTTTGCTGGTCTCGCTTATTAAACACTTGGCTCCGCATGTGTTTGTTGATGGCTCGTGCTTTTCTAGTCTTCCGGCAACACGGTGTCTAGGAGGCTTTGGTTGATCATGCCAATGTTCTGAGGCTGTTTATTGTTTTGGCATGTGGCGCATGCTCCCTTCAGCACGCCTGACATCTCACAGCTTCCTCTTTTGAATGATCGAAGCTCTAATCATTGGAAGGACCTATCTGAAAGCATTGCCCTGAGAGTAATAAGTCCCAGGCAAGCACATCCGCACAACGAAGCAACGAAGGCGATGACGCTCTTGTCTTTGGTTGTTTATGTCCGCTTTCTCCAGCTTGCCCTGTGACACTAAAAGAACTGGGACTCCACAAACATTTGTGAGGGTGTGCTGAGTCAGGGTACCGACTGGCATCTCCACTTCTGTGGCTACATTGATTTGATTCAGCCTCGTTCTTCCTCGCAGCGCTCACGGCGCCCAGATTGAGAGCCTTTCAGTGCTGACCCGACCCGGAGTCCAACCCAGCTGACACATCATGGGTTTTCCGGATTTTCAGGAAGAACAACGACCGCAGCACCAGCTGAGGGAGCTTGTAGGCGGCATCCGTGTTTTCCATCGAGGTCGCGATGTTGAAATCGAGCTACTTGACCAGCCACACCCACAGCCAGGGTGGTTTTTTGGGGGAGGACCTCCCGGATGATCTCTAAGTCTCTCAAGGCGAGACACGGTCGACGGACCAACGGTGGAGCGCGACACGAGCGAAGATACTCCGAACGTGCGGGTTTACGCGTGGGTTTTTGCGTGGGGAAGCCCCGAAATACCTTGGTAGACCCTGAAGGTGAAGTTAGGTTGTAGCTGGGACAGGATCTTAGCATTTGGTCCATCTTCGCAGTGCCTTCCCCGAAACGCAGCTCATTCTGTCTCCACGTCCGATTGTCTTCCCGCCCACAACCGCTCGCGGAGGGTGCAAGGAACCCAGAGATAGCCTCGCTCGTCCTGGCGATGGGAACAATGGGATCCACCATGCCTCACCCAACATAGGACCCTACTGGGGTACCTATGGGATAGTCTATGGGGTCATTCAACCTCTGTTGGTATGAATGAACACATCCTTTCTTCTCATTCTTCTCCAAGAAACATCGGGTCTTTTGGGGTATTTTGTTGGTCAGTTCATGGCCACGGGTCCGCGTAAAAACGGTCGGTTGCGCTCGGAAAAACACATGAAAAAAGGGGTGCAAGATGGTGCAAGGGTTCTGTATCTTGCATCCACCTATGCAGAACAAGTCATGGATCATTTCGTTTTCGCTTGGCTTCTCCCTCGAGACTCGAAGCTTGGATCAGAGTGAATCGGTCGGATTTCGGGTTTTACAACAACTTGCTAAGCATTCAGCCAGTTTATTTGTATAATCCCAAACACTCCATGGGACTGGTGTATTTACCGATCAATTGGGGTGGTGCCAAAGGGGTCAATGGGGCGGCATATATGACAAACATGGAGTGTCTGGGAATCTTGGAAGTGGATGGCATGGCCCCTGGGAAGACAATGTTCCTCTACAAACAGGGGGTGACCTCCACTAAACCATGTTTGTTGGGAGGGCAAAGACCCAAATCTCTCTCCAAGCCTCCACAATGAGGTTTCTCTAAGCTTATGGCAGCCTTGATTCTTTTGCACACCCTGTTTTTTCCTTATTGTTGTATATGTTCTTTTCCAAAAGCAGCCATCTCAACCAAAGATCCTGGAACTTTGCCTTGGAACGTGACTACTCCAGTTTCAATGCCGCTTAGGCCATGGCACAGCCTTGCACAAATAGCTGTCACGCTCCACATGTCATGTCTATTCCAAGCCCCGAACGACATGGGCACGAGGGGTTTCGCAAGTAAGTAGCAATGAAGTGTTTTAGCTGTAAGCCCTGCAAGGGACCCACATGGAACCTGCAAACCACGTCGGGTTGGTCTTCGGAACATCGTCTTCCGAAGGCCCATTTTCAGGTTCCACGTGAGTCTCTTCCGGCGTGTCACCAGTGGTGATTTCTGGAAGACCAACAGCGTGGCCAAAGTAAACCTGAACGAAGACCACGTGGCAGGTGGAGAAGTTGAGGTCCAAATCGGAGGTGTTTTGGGATCATGTTGGATCCGAAGTGGAAGATATTCCCCCAACCCCCGAATCCACATGTTGTTTGATGATCCAAGAAGCATCCGACGGGTCATGTGAGGAAAAACAACACTTGACATCGACGGGAATCAACATGAGAAAAAGACCCGACCGTGGGGGAATGACCAACTCCTCTTGGGTCTGCAAAGGTGGGACGGACCCGTTTTCAAGGTCATTCAAATAGTCATCGAAGAACGCCCGGCAAATTCATGTGAATTCTGCACACTCGAAATCGAAACGGAATCGGATGGAATGGGAAGACCATCATCCTAACAAACAGGTGCTGTGTCCTCGCTAGTCCACGTCTTCCATGTCTTTGTTTTCATTTGTCGTTCGTCTTCACACATCCATCGCTGCTTGGATACAATCCAAGCGCCGAACAATGACGATCGGAGGTCGTACGGAGCCAGTCGACCGCGGTACGGCGCCTCATCACAGGCCAAAGGCCGCCAGGTGCTATCCGCACCTAAACCTGTCAACGCGGGGGTTACACGAAGGGCTTAGGTCGAGAGGCGATTTGGTGGAGGGTATACGGGTGCCCATGGTCCAATCACATAATATGAGCCAGCGTCTATATAAATTATGGGTTTGGGCTGTATATGGCTGCATTCAAATTAGGGCATCCCCTATCGCTATTCTTTTTTTCAGGTTTCGACACTTTATGACACTTCGGGGTGGGTATTGTTTTGCTTTGTTTCGGGGTATCGTTTAACACACTTGCCCAGATCCTGCTGTTTGCTTGACCATCTTCTACGTCACACCCTTGGAGCTTCCTCAAGCCTTTCTGCACAAGATAGTCCACATATGCTCTCCATGGACCATCATGGTGAGCCAGTCGTTCATGCCTTCAACCAGCAACCAAATGTGTTTGGTGTCGTCTCCATGTGAAGTCGGTCGCTTCTTGACCAAACACCGGGAACCGGTGATGTGAACACCCTGCACTACATGATCCGTTCTGGGTCACCGGGCGAACGACTATACGCACTACAGATGGACTTCCAAACAGGACTCTCATTGGATAATCCTGGTATTCCATGAGGTGATGTTCGATCACTTACGTCGTTTCTGTTCACCACGAGAACCGAGCCGCGACTCCGCGACTGTCACATTTTACCGCAGGTGGACAATCTCCCGAACCGGTCAGTCCATGTAAAGCTCTAAAGGCTCACTGAACTGGATCACCTGTCCCAGACACGACCTGTCTGGGACTGCCAGTCCGGACTGCCGCCCAGACCGACCCCTTTGGCACCACACCTGGCCGTTTTGAAGGCAGTCCCGCAGTCCCAGACAGGTCGTGTATGGTCATGTTGTGATATGTTGTGTTGGATTGGAGTGGGGTGTCAGCGTGTCCCAGATTTGACTGGGGCAACCCCAACCCCCCCACAGTCGTCCAGAAGGTCATCCAAAAGGTCGTCCACCTGTCCTGGGTGAGGACTCTCTTGAGCAAAACTTGGTACTGATGCGCCGGTTTTTGCTGCCAAACAGCGATATCTCCAGGTTCGAACCCACTTCGTAGATCGACTTGAACCAAAGCGTCCAGCGTCGCATCGCTCCGCCTAAGAGGTTCAAGGGCTCCACCAGCGACAAAGGCGAGCCACCCTGGTGCCGGGAGGTCCACTCGCGGTGGCCTTGTGGAAGGTATGTATAGACCCCCTGGAATCATGATGGTTACGTGGAATGAACACCACCTGTTGCTTAGAGGAACATATTCTTCCGCAATCGGGGACCATTTGGATCTGTTTTTTTCGAGTCACTAGCATGGAGGTGGAGTTCACCAACTGTTTATGTTCAGACTTCATGGCCATCCAAATCCAGGCCATGCCATCCACTTCGAGCAATGATTCCAGGGAGTGTAGATGATGAGAACCGAATTCCAGAAGACTGAGCCACCCAAGAATGATGACAGGCAAATGCCAGCACCACCCACCAGGTATTTTCCATCTAAACAAATACGCGAACTGGGTGGCGCTGGTGTTGCTCTTCTGGTTTCTGCATGTGTTCATTTGGATTTGATCCAACAAAAGCAGGTTCATGGTTTGGGAGGTTTTTGGTAGCCTGAAAGTAAGGAGCCACAGCATCTTAGGCGCCCAGCTTCAGTTTGCAAGTTCTTTTCAAGTTCGATGACTTACCCCAGACCATCCAAAAATGGAATAGTTATAGTTACTGTCAATGAATTGGTTTAAGGGAACATCTACAGGAGACCCAGAGTTTAGGGGGAGACAGCCATGTTTACCTGTAGACTTTCCCTTAAACCCATTCATTGATACTTACAGCAGAGCTGTCATACATGTGGTGCATTTATTTATGTATTATTCCATCATGGACGGTCTGGGTACTACCGTGGTAACACATGGCCAGGCTTCTTCTGCGTATCAACCATTCCGCAGGGTGTCCACTGCTTGGTAGAGATCTGCTCATGAGCTAGAAGCTAGAACATCTTATCCTTAGGGATCCAAGTACCTTCTCAGAAGGTGATTGGAGACACAGTAGTGTAGGTTTGGAGGGTCCAAGTACCTTCTGAGAAGGACGACTGGATCCCTAGGGCTATGACACCCAATTCCACAAGGAGTTCCCATCGGTTGATTCTGAAAGGCTAGGGGTGCCAGTCATCCACGTTCTTGGGGGCTCAAAATCACTCCTTGGCAATCCACTGCTAGGTCGTCAAACTCCCTCAAACCAACTCAGCCTACTGAAAAAAGAAGCAAGTGCCCACTACAATATAATATATGAACATAAATGAACACTTCAAAACACCTCCCACAACATGCATGGCCTCCTTTTAACATCTGATCAGACTGGATTTATATATGTATGATGCGATCATCACCTCATTCATGTTGAAACGAAATCTAGGATAATACTGAATCCCGAATCGAAACATAATTCCTCCCGACGAAAATGCTATTGGTAAGCCCTCTCTGGGAGCCAGAAATTATGAGTTTCTTAAAACAAAAACAACAAGATACACGGCATATGATACACATTCTCAAATCATGATGGAAGTGGAGCTCGCCACCTGTTTGTTATTTGGATTTCATGGTCATCCAAGTCTTCAGGGCCCGTTCTCGTCGCGTGTTGACCGTCCACCTGCTGGTTACGGTCCAACTCGATCAACCGCTTTCTCGCTTTTCCGCCCCTCCGTGTCGTCGTCCGGTTCGACCTCCTCCTTGGTCAAAGCTTCCGCGAAGCAATCCATAAACTCCTTGCCTTACCGACCACGAGATGACGATCGCGATCGTGTCTGGTGTGTAAGAAAAAGAGCTTTGAAGCGAAAATGGGCTTCCCCCTGGCATGTTTTTGTTCATCTTAGTGTCACCCTGGTCTCCAACTACATCCTGAGAAGATGGCTATGGTGGGTGCCAGGGGGGTCTCACCACCGAACCTGAGGATCTGGGGCGTTCGGAGCCCACACAGGTGGGCTCCAAACGATGACAGGTTTGTGCTGGGTGCGACGCCCAAGTCTCTACCTGCAGGTGTCTCAGGTTTCAGTTCATCCAAGGGGGATTTCATTCTCCAACATTCATCAAACAGACTATCCCAATTTGAACCACCTGCAGCCTCTTCCAGCCACCTGCCACCTGCCATCAGCCACCTGCCACCGGTCGTGCCACCATGTCGAGCGACAACCGGAGACCGGGTCGACCGGCACTCAGGTGCGACAAACACAACATCCATGGGACTGGTGCTATTGACATCTGCTAGCTTTGGGGTGCTTTGGGAGGATGGTCCATGTGTTTTTAGGCCAGTCCCATTACACTCCGACTTCACTAACATGGAAGTGGACAACCTCCTGTTTGTAAAGCAAAGTAGTCTTCTAAGGGGTCATGCCATCCACGTAACCATGTGATGTGTTCGTCAGAGTGTAGTCGTGTATGGGGATGGCTTCACCCTCGACTTCGACTTCATCGTCCCTGAGCGTCCCCGGCGCACGCCACCCATATCCACCGCATCCTCACCCATGAACTGGACCCCTGGCGGTGGCAGCAAAGGCCGATGCTGGCCCTCCCTGATGCAGTCTAGGACAGGTCTTTTCTCGAACCAGAGAGACTAATCGCAGAACCAGTCAGCGATGGTGGACGCTACGGAATCGAGAAATTCCAGCATTGTGAGTCAGACGTTCTGAGCAGTTTGATATCCTCCTTTCTTACCCTTCGGCTGACCTGTTCACAAGGTTCTGAAGGCATTGAACACTAGCTACTTGTAGTAGTTCTGACGAAAGTTTCTTAACTGCAACTGTTGGTTCTTCACCCCAGCCCCTGGATCATTGGTAGATGTTACCACCAGAAGTATGAGAACTACCCAGATGACTTCGCTGTTCGTCACCAAAACCACGCCGGCGTACGAAGGCCCAGCATATTGGTGAGCTCTGTCTCCTGCGCGTCCGAAAGCCCGGAAGGGGTGTTGTCGTTCAACACCTTCGTGGTGTGCAACCAGGGAGACCCTCCAAACCCTAGGACATGAAGGGACAACTGGATGTGTAAACTGACATCCAGTGTAAACCCTAGGGATCCGTTTTCGTACCGAACCTCCTCAGGTTCGGTACGAAAACGGACCCGACGTTTTGGCACCTCCATGACAGTGTCGAACACATCACCGTACCTGAGGTTCGGTACGAAAACGGATCCCTAGGGATTCAAATAGGGGAGACCTCCGACCTCCAACCCCCTGAGGGGGTCTTTAATCCCGTGACTGGGCTCCTGGCCCACCTCCGTTTGGAAGGCCAGGGGTGGGTGCCAGGGGGGTCTAACCACCGAACCTGAGGAGATGGTTGGATCCATAGGGAAGATACACATCACAGAGTGTATCTTCACCAACACATCACCACGTCGCTCCATCTTCTCGCTTCTCGCTCCGTCCGCCGTGACATGGGGGCAGCCACCGACGTCACCGTGACCGGCAAACCCCGTCGTGCGCCCGTCGTGTCTGAAGCCGCGTCGAGACAGTACGAGGTCCATCGCAAGACCGATCAAAGCCTGGTCCCTGGTCCCACATCCTACAGATTCAGGTCTCAGCATGGGAGGGTGCTGGTGTGTGTATATACATATATTATATATATATATACTAGCGTCTGATGAGTATGGATCTGTGCTTCTCATGAATTGCCTGGGTTAAGTCTTTGCACATGTGATTTTCAAGCTTTACCATAGAAAGGACTTGCGCAACTCCATGAGCACCGTGCATCATAAGAAAAACATTGACACAGCAAACCTGAATTTCACTATCGTTGTTTCATAATCGGCATTGTGTTTCGCCAACTCCTTTTTCATCTGGCTTGTTTACAAACTTCTAGCATGCAAACTCCTCAACTCCTAGCTTTGTAAGACTTCATAAGTTTGCATTGATGCTGCTCATTCATGTCCATGTTTGCAGGGTTTTGCAACGTGAGCTAAGACTTGTGAAACATGTTTCAAAAAGCCCCAAGCACATGAGAAGGGATTTGTAAAAATCAGCACGATGTTCCACAATAGTCCTTTGTCACTAGACGATAGCATATATATATATACAACTATACGATATTGTATTGATAAATATGCTACTTGCAAGTGTCCCTCATCTAATTGGTTCTTCCCCCGAGGAAGAAACCGGTCCCCGGTCCCCGGTCTCCTGTAGCCCAGGGAAGTGCAAAGCAGTGATGCCCAGCAACAGGTCATCAACCTCATCGCACCGCAGCTTCTTTCAACGGACCGCTTTCGGCTTCAGGACGTGAACCACCGGTAGCGCGTTGGCGCAAAAAAGAAGACGCTATACGCCTGGGTTCATGTAGACTGTAGACTCTTGGTTGTATCACGTTGTATCTCAACCACCCATGAAGAGTCTTAAGTTCACTGGCACAAGAGATAAGTTCATGTCTTGTTGTCCATAGACTCTCATCACGTTGTATCCCGTAGTCTCTAGACCAATGATGAAGAGGCTTAAGTTCACTGGCACATGAAGGACTTTGCCGGACCAAACCATCGCGACGGAAAGGCGGACCAGCCTCGCAGTACCGGTCGACTGGACCCGGTGCCCTGTGCTGGTGAAAAAGGAAAGGAACACACAAATCCACCCGTGGACCTGCAACCAGCGGTGGAATGGCTAAAGTTCACAAGTTGTCAGCTCATGGTTGACCCATGAGAGGTGGTTTCACCGGCGGTCTAGAACCGTCGACCCTCACATTTCTTATGTCTCGTGTCGCTCGTCTTCCAATGTCTTCCCCAGCGGGGGGAGCTGAAGTGTTCTCTTGTTCTTGGCGTCAAACCACTCCGAAGCGTTCTGCTCGGAATGTGTGAGTCTGGCAGGAAGTAGGTTCGAGATGGTTCGAGTCAGTCACCCAAAGGCTCAGAGTTTGGACCCCATCAAGCCTCGGATTTGGACACTCACAAGCCTCGGGTCAAATGGACCCCATCAACATCTAGCACCTGTAGCAGTTGGTTCGGGTTGAGGGTCGCATCTAGGTAGAGTAAAACCTGCGAAACCATTGGGGCCCAGTGGCTGAACCCCTGAGAAGCCAGTCCGTTCAGCGTCCACAAACTTATAGCTATATATGATGAAAGAGAGGTCTCACAACAAGATATCTCATCTGCAAGAAATCAGCAACATTCAGAAACATGTGTTCTAGAACCCTGGACCTCCAACAAATATAGAAACGGACAACCCTTATTGTATATGTTGTACATGTTTGTACAGAAACACGATCTTTCCAGGGTCCATTTTCCACTTCCATGATTGTTGGAGGGATGGTTCACGATGTATGTTCTTTTTTTGCCGATGATCCTGAAGTTCCATGACAGTCGGGGTTGATTGGTTTGGTACCATTTACCGAACTTGCTGGTGCACCAGTTGGGGGTGTCCTCGAAGATTCATCAACCAGTATAGTATAAAGGCCATCTACCAGGAGTCATTTCTAGGGGCGGTTTTGAGTCGGTGAATGGATGATCTGGGCACTTCCGACTGGATAGCACCACGTCGAACGTGACTGCGAAAGAAGACATACATGATTTAAACATTAAAAAACACATCCACACATTTAAACATGAAGAAAACCACATTCTTACCACCCATTCTACAGATTTTGAATCATGCTTTGTAAGCAAAACCAGAGACCGACGTCACGAACGCACCGTCATGACACTGAAGCGTCCGACTGTCTGGGTCGCCCCCACCGAACGCTCCGCAATTTGCGTGAGCGCGGAACGGACCATGTCGTTGCCTCGGTTTCGACCAAATCCGTGCCAAGTCTTTCGACAAAGACGGAGAATCGCCGTCCACCAAAGCAAATCACGTATACTGTAGATACACAGATCGACTCGCAGGGCCTGGCCTGGAGGCAACCTGCTTTCAGTTGATTCTCAGGACGGCACGACGCACGGTCACCAGCGCGGTGGCGGAGTCGAAGACTTGGACCCTCAGCCGACGACTTGGACCCGCCGCCGTTTTGGAGAAGCGCGGGGGTACCGGGAGCCCGAAGGAAGATGGAGGAAGATGGTGAAGGTTTAGGACTTGGAGACCATAGAAATGCATGATATATGCATGATATATAATATATATAATATATCATGATATCTCATCATATGTCTCTCTCTATAATATTTATATTAAATAAACGATATAAATGTTCAAAAGACTGGAATGGTCAAAGAAAGAGACACCTAGCTGACTTCATAGCAAAATAAAGTTCTGAGTCCAAAGTTGTGTGCATATCCAGAGCACCACCTCCCACTTAAAGGCTGGAACAAACTTCTTGCACCAGTTTCATTCAAGTTAATGTTATTGCATCACGTCCAAGCAAAACTTGCAAACAAGGAAAACCAAACCAAACTCTGGTGAACTTCCGTCCATCTGACGATGCTCGGCAAAATCGCTCTACCCAGGCAAAATCGCTCTCTGATGTGAGGGATTGGACCCTCATATGGAACCCTAGGTTTTGAGGGATTCGGGGCTGTTGGGCGCATCCAATTCTCTCCCAACCATGTCGAACTACAATAGGAGTATGGTGGCCCACCCGGGGGGGCCTCAATTACTCTGCAAAGCAAAAACACCCTTCACAACACCCTTGGTCGCCCGACCTCTGGCGGACTAAGCTCTACTAAACATCCATTGCGGGGGGGGGGGGTTGAAAAGCGCCGAAGCACCGCTGGGGTTGGGTTTTTGGATGTAGGATATGTAGACCCCTTCTACTTCAGACGGCGGGTAAGGAAGGGTCAGATCATGAAGCACAACAATTAAGCACATACGTACATCATTCAATGAATGTTTTGTCTTAATCATGAAAGAAAACTATATCACTCAGCAATCATCATAACATAACAGTTCAAAAACCTAATTTCGAACACCCAACCAATCATTCAACCAACCAAAAAGCCAGCCAACCTTTTTACTTAAATCACTCTAGCATTTGGATATTTAGTTAAATGAATTGTTCCTGTGGACTCTTCAGCGTCGCTTATCTCTTAAGAGTGTCAGTCATATTTAATTTCAGGACCTTTTGTATCGGCACCTATCGTTTCTACCGGCGCCTTTCCTAGTTCGCATGGTCCGAATCATCCTTGAGCGATGCCCAATGAGAATCCTGTAAACTGAGCCACCCTAAACCCGGGGTCGACATGGGTAGGAGCCCTTCCCAAACAATCCATGTACTCATTGGGATCATGAATGGGGTATCGGGTATATATGTCCAGGAGCTCCTAGTAGCGTCCTTGCACCTAGTAGCGATGCCCTTTGCCCCGTTCGTAGCTTCTTGCTCCTAGTAAGGCCAGGAGCCCCAGTTCGTAGCGTCCTTATGCAATGATTTCATCTGTGGGTGGTCTGGACTCGTCACGACGGCGTCCCAAACCGTCCACGCTCGGCTTCCGCACACGCATTGCTCGTTCACTGTGCCGTCCTCCTGGAGGAAGCGGAGTGGCGCAGTTCGGGGCCAAACGTGAGATGTGAAAGAATCAACATGACCCCCCTAAAAAGAGTCGAGGTTGTGGTAGAGTGTCTTAGATTTTGAGATATTTTACGCACTCTGCACAGTCTTTTCCTTCTATATAGGCTGTCGCTGTTTCAAGGCCTTGCCTTAGGGGTGGAAATGACTCACAGCCCCATCAGCAAGTCCTTCGCTGGACAAACACCCGCTCCGGAGCATGTGATTTGAGGTCCCAGCACTGTCTGTGCCATTTGTCTACCCATCATTCTTCCCCACGGGCCTAGTCAGGTGGTGACAAAGGATGAAACCGGATCTGGGAGCAGCTTTTGCGGGCTTGAAGTTAAGCTAGAGCTGGTTAAATCCAGTGAACTCCCCCTCATACCTAGATCTTCAGTCCGGCACTTTTACAGGGTCCGGCGCCGGACTTCCAACTCCGGCGTTTTTCTGGATTTGGTCCGGCGGTTTTTCCAAGTCACTTGAAATGTGGATTCTCAAGTCTTTGCATTCTTTGTGGCTTGCATTTCTTTGAAGGTAATGATTTGCTTGCAAAGTGTGCTCATTTGCCTGTTCCGCTGTTTTCTCATTCCACCGGTTCCAGCATGGTTCACACTGGATCAATCAGATCCGTTTAGGTGATCTTCTAAGTGAAATCGGATGAAATTGGTACAGTGCGATGCACGTGTTGAAAGACCCAAGTGGGAGTACCTAAGCTGAAAAAACATAGGCAAAGATGTACTCCCATTGTTTCAGGATGTCGGGGCGCTTGGATATAATTAGTTCTAGTTGCGCAGGTTTGCAGAGCCTGCCGGACAAGTTTTGGGCTGTGGAACATGTGTTGTTCAGAATCTCAATGTTTTGCAGAGAGTTGCTAAGAAAAATTGCACGTCGTAACTCCGGCGTTTTTTCCCGTAACTCCGGCGTAATTTCCCGTAACTCCGGCGTAATTTCCCGTAACTCCGGCGTATTTTGTTGGACTCAGTCTTTTGAATTTTGAAAAGTTTTTCAACTAAGAGTTTCGACAGGAACCATGAGTGCTGCTACTTTATTGGCGGGGCCGTCCTGAGGCAAGCAATAAAAAACAATTTAAAACCATATAAGAATCATGGAGAGCCACTTTGTAAAAAACAATTAGAGACACGGGTGCAGAGAAATAGGGGTTCCTTGCCACATACTCCTTGGTTTCTTCTTGGAAGTCTTTGCTTGGGCACAAGTTTGCTTATATTTTGTGATGGTTCTGCTCTTAGGCCATTCGGAAGATGGGCGAGGGCAATGGGAACGGGAAGGCTCCAGTGCTGGGTTGTGGAATGAGTGTGTTCCAGAAAAAACTACTTGTGGCGCAAAGGCAGTTTGCTTGTGTATGATCCAGCCTTTTATCATCTCTGTTTTTCAGAATCTTGGATCCGGATGTTTTTTTAGGTCTCCGGCGTTTTTTTCGGAATCCGGCGGAAAAATTTGCCGGATTGAGGTCCGGCACTTTTTCCCGCCCAAAGGAGGATCCAGGTATCTCATCTAACATCTGAATAAAACACCGCGGCTTTGTGGCACATGTGGCACATGGTGGTGACCGTTTTGGTGTGAGAGGTTGACCCCAAAGACTGCATCATGAATAGACTGGGACTGCGCGTCCATGGTGAAAAACAGTCAAACCGGACGGATGAGTTCCGGTCGTCCAGCGGCCGGTGAGACCCTCCAGTCGTCCAGCCTCTTGAAGGAGCGCTTTCAAATCCTCGCGCCCACGGTGCGAGCGGTCGGGTCGTTGTTGGTGGGTGGATGAATCCTATCACTTGGATGGAGAAAAAGGAGCTCCATATCAATGTGTTGTTGTTATAGCAATCGACAATCATCAACAAATACTGTATCAAGAATTAACATGTTAGCCCGTTAGCCCATGAAATTCATCTTCATCAAGTCTTGGGCCAGCCCTTTGGGCCGCGCAGGCCCAATTGGATGGATGGATCGGGTCTCCAACTCAGAACCCTTACCCAAACCATCCATGTTACATGGCATCTTTCTACACTGTATCTGTATATATACCTACATTGGGGTACTTGAAAGGGGGTATGAATTCAAAACTGCTATACATGAAGTGTCCAACTACAAAAGGATACTGTCAAGTTGAGTAGTAGGTGGGTGTTCTGGCACCATCAGTTCTTGTTGAAACAGTGTGAAACAAAGCACACTGGACTGTCCACATGCCGGACTTCTGGCCCAAACGTTGAGGTGCTCCTCCTGTGTTTGGTGCTCAGTCCCTACCCTCTTCGGATGTCTGACCTTTGAGCCCGACAAATCCCCGAACTGGTTGAAGGAAAGAAAGAGCATGAAGAACTACAGGAAACCCCTAGTTTTGGAGTTCAAACCCATTGGGTGTCCTGAGTCCTGTCACCTTCAACATCCTTCAACATCCTTCTGAGAGAACAGGTTGAACGAACGGCATCACTCCTCACCCCGGCGTGCCGCCAATTGCAGCAGCAATTCGTCCAATTGGTCTTGGGCCTCAGTGGTCCGTGCTGAGCGGCAACCACTTGGCCTCTGGCTGGGGGTTGCTATCCATGATCATACGAGAATAGGAACCCCTAGCCATGGTCAACATGGTCTATAGCACTGGCAAACTCCCAGCTAGAGAATAGGAGACCCCGTTGCCTCATGGTCTAGAGCATGTTATACCATAGGATGTCCTGTTTGGTTTTGTGGTACAGCATGGTATAGACCCATCATTGGGGAGATGGCAAAGTTGTTGCCCCTGCGAGGGGGCGATGCCAGGTACCGCATATCGGTTGCTTCACAACAGGTGGTATCCTCTCTATTAATCAAGCAAGGGCGTAGGTCAGGCCGTTGCTAACCAAACTGTCCACCGTCCACCACTTGGATTGATCAAGGGTTCCCCAATCCACAGCCAAAAGGTGATTCACTCCTCCAGGGCCACACTTCCAAACACTCATTTCCTGCCCCCCATGTCATCTGGGTCCAACTCCTACCTCTTCAGAAACCAAACACAAAAATTGAATGCGATATAATCGCGTTGCATTCGCTTTGCATGTGGAAGGTGCACACCCACGTCTGGCTCGGGGCAAGCCAGTCCCATCACGTCCATTCTCACGACTGCCTAACAATCCTAACAAACATGGGAATCACCTGGAACCAAAGCACTTAGGTCATAGAGCTCCTTAAGGCTGGCCCACTGACCCACTGGCCCGGAGTCGAAGGTGGGGGCCGACCCCCCTGGCACCCACCCCAACCATCTTTCCCTGACTTCGGATGTGGCCCAGGAGCCGAAACTTGCGCCTGTTGAAAAAGGTGATCGACTGATGGGGTAGGTCCGACCGAGGGAACCGAACCATATCAACACTTAGAGGTTCCTCAACCTCCGCACGGCGCGCGCATGCGTTGAACGTTGTCCGCATCGTCGTCTGGGCTCCCGACAGCATCCCAACCTGAGCACTGGCACTGGGCAAAGGCCACAGTCTCCAACGAGGCCAAGAAGCTCAACCAAGCATTCCCTTCAAAAGTGTCCTGATTCCACCTTCCATCCCAACTCAACGCTTTTTCGTGCGATTCCATCAGCCCATCTGTCCTCCCCTCCCCCCAAAAACATCATGACGAACACCCAGCTCGAGCCGTTGTCCTCCCTTCCCGGCGGCGGCGACCACCGGGCGCCCCGGACCGGAGCACGGCGGCTCTGCCAGCGCTTCGCGCATGGGCAGTTGCAGCCGTCGCAGGAGCCTCGGAGGGTGTCCGGTGGCCCTCCCACACCTTATTGAGGGGGTCTCTATACCAGGCACCCCTAACTCTAAGGGATGTGATGTCTAAAACAAATAAATAGCCCCCTACAGTACTATAATATGTATATATGTGTATGGTGAATGGGGGTCTCCATTATCCATTCCTTAGCTACCTTCACCGCCACAGCACCGTCCGCTGAGCTCATCGCTGGTGTGTGCCTCGAATCGCTCGGACCTGGCGCGGCGGCAAGGCGCGGCGGCTTGGCGCCGGTCGGATGGATCTGGGTTTTGGGAAGAACATCAATGTTCACCCTTATGTAGCAGAAGGGTTTCCAATGGTTTGCACATGTCCTAATTTTGCATCCTATGTTTATCAATTTTCAAGAACGCAGCCGGTGTCCTGATGCGTTCCTTTCTCTCTTATTGTTTTGCCGGTACTCAAAGTTGCATCCCCTTCCCCACGCCATAAGTTTCAAGAAAGACTGGTGGACTTCCTCCTGAGATCCTGCTTCCGCAGCCCAAAACTCATGCGGAAAAAAACGCGTTGCATCGCGTACCCTCCACCAGAGAGAGGAGATCTCCATGCTGGCAAAGAACTCATGGGCACCTCGGTCGCGTCACGTCCTTCCGGCGCTCTTTCGTCACGTCCTCCCTGCGCTGCAAACCACGACTGGTTTCAACGATTGGATCACCGACCAGCTCGCCGCAAAGGGTACCTTCATTGGATTCAAACAGATCACCATGAATGAGTGTGCCTCATTTCCTTGATGTAAAGGAATACCAAGCACCAGCCATCACCAGCCTCAGCTTCCTGTCTCCTGGTCTTAGATGCCTCTATTTCTGCGGCCTAAACGGTCACATCAGTTCACCCAACAAACCCCACAACGCATTGCCTCCGTCGCCTTCCGTCTCCCCAAGTTCCGCCCTTGGCTCCCCAAGGGACGCTGGGGCGCTTCAGCCAATTCAGAACGGCCGCGCTCGGACCTTGCAAGACGAGAGTGGATGACAATGGGTGCATGACCCCGGGTCAACCACCCCAAGTGATCGGCAAATATACATGGTGTCTCTGGGTACTGAAACGGGAGATCCCGCCAGATGGACCTCTTGCAAAAATGAGATATGTTAATCAAGTGAAACCTCAAGCTGGCCTGCTTCTCACGCTGAGAAGGAAACGGTTCATGATCGATCATAGGGTAGTCTCCTTCAAGTCAGTGGACTTGACAGCTTGAAATCCCTTCCTAGAACAAAGAGCAGGTACTACAAACGAGAGTCTTGCACAAAGGACAAGGACAGATATTCCCTGCGTGTTGAAGTGTTTTAGAGTTCTAACGTTAACACTTCAACAAACAAACTAAAACGCTAAGTTCATGTCTTTCGTGCAGTTCATCTCAGTTCATCGGACAGTTCCTTCGACCTCAAGCGATGTACTCGGGTACCCGGTGCCAGCCCCGACCCCGGTGCCAGACTCCCAACTTGGACCGATCTGTAAGATTCCTAGCATTGATTGAATGACATCTCGAACCACACTTCCCAGACACTCCATGTATGCCATATTTACCTGGTTTGGGGGGTCAATGTAGGCATTTGTGCCATACATGGAGTGTCTGGGCTTGGTTTTACAAATTAGCCCATAAAGCTCCAGTCAGTGCTGAAGGTATCCCGAACAACTTGCAAACGAAGGGACGACTGGAGCCAAGGGGGTAAGAATGTGACTCCCAAATCGCCAGGTCTGCCAGGTCAAAAAATGGTCCAACAAACAGCTTTCGGGGGATGGCTGAATTCTTTCGAAGAGAGTGCTCTCCGTCCTCCGCGGTCCTCCCGTCTTTTCACACAAGGGGCTGCATCAAGTCTCTTGACACTCGACACAACGCCGCCTGGGGAGGCAGAAGGAGGGGAGGGCGCCTTTTTTGGCTCCGCCCGGCCGAGGGGGAAAGAAAAACACATGTTGGGCAATATGGGGAATGTGTTAATAAATGTGGTCTGGGTATACACCAATCATTGGTGATATGGGTCTATGCCAGGTACCATAGACACGAACGAAAGTACCATATCCCAGTCTTACAAAGAGAAGGCGGTACTCAATCCATCAGTTTTTAAGTTTTATGTTGCTATGTTGCCATACTAATTAGTTCCTATAGCAGCTAGACTTTAACTGAATCAAGCGGCGAAGGCATGGTCCTTACTGTACCACTGAACCGGCATTCGCAACCGAACAGATCCCCTTGGGTGAGCAGGAATCCCTTCGGTGCTTGGGGAAGCCTGTGGCGGTCTTGGCAGTTTCCAGTTCGATGGTGGTTCTCTTTTAATTGCATCTCAGCTACCACTCTATAAGGAACCAGGGATTCGTTCGGTCTATGGTGTTAGTCTTTGGAACCACTGGTTACCAGCTAGTACGTGGTTTGCCCCTGGATGCCCTGGGCTCTTGCATCAATGCTTTGCCTGTCTGAGTCGTATTTTGCCGGCTAAGATGGCCAAGTCCCCTCTATGAATCAACCAGGCAATTTGATGGCTGGAGCGGTTGGGCGAAGCGATCACTAGAGGCTGGCTAGAGTGTGCAAACCAGTAACTTTGCCACATGGGGCAGGGCTGGCAACGCAACGCTGAGCAAAAGATTGAAAGGTCAAGAACGCAAATAGGATGTTGATTGAATTAAGTTCTCTAGGGATCCAACCAACTCCTCAGAAGGTAGTTAGAACCCGCAAACTTACCGCTCAGGAGGCATATTATTTATATAAATATAGGGAATTCATACAGTGTTTACAATCCCATTAGAATCAAGCCTCCGGGTGTAACGCCACACGCTTTTGCGACCACACCAAAGCAAACCTCACACCCGGTGTCCTCACACCCGGTTGATTCCGACCCACCAAAGCAACCTCACTCCGACCAAAGCGAAAGCAAAGGCAGTTCGAGCATTTGAATCTAAGAAGTGCTTGATTTTAGTGAGGACTTTCACTATACCTGGACTTTCCAGTCTGAAGATCAGTGTAGGGTACTCCAACCAAAAACAGAGGTCTGGGATGGTCTTAGTAAATTGTTATGTTGGACGATCCAACAACCATTTGTAAGCATGTGTAAGCCTTCTGTGTTGTCCTAGCCTGCTTTACACAGTGTTCACTTCTTTCCCCATCTCAGGTGCTTTCTCCACGACACCTGGCTCGTCTCCGCGACGCGCGACGCGCGCGTCTCTGCATGGAACACCGACCTTCTGCGCGACGATGGGGTCCGGCCCAAAGATGTGTTCCACCAGCCGCTTGCAGGGGATCACCTCAAAAGCCACAGGGCGACCGTAGCGGGTCAAATGGACGTTGTGGGTCAGAGCCAAAGACCTCATGTTTGGAGTTGATCGCACTAAAACACTCGTCAATGAGGTAAATGACCAGGGTTTACCCTGGGTAGCCCGTAGGGACCGAGTTCAGCATGGGTCAGTTCGATGGGAAGAACTTAGGCATCCAAGACACACGATCCTGAACCTTCATCTAGTAACTAATGACTTGATCATGACCAAAACAAGCACAACTGTCGTATGGAAACCCTGCTGGCGCCATTGCAGCAAGAGGTCAGATGTTGCGCATGTTCCATCTTCTATCTACGAGACGATCAATGGATGTTCATCCATTGGGAAAACACGGTGCCATAAGAATCATAAAACTGAAGGCATGCGGCATGTGTCCCAAGTTTGAGCTGGTCACAACAAAACTGAGAAACAATGGCTGCTAGAAAAAGAACAAACACATTATTGAAACACAACATAGACATTCATCTTGCCCCTAAGAGTCTCCTGCTTGAGAGCTTTGTCCAGGTCTCTTTCTGCACTTGACAAAATATAAAGAAATCCAGCTCCCATCACCTCCTGCCCTTCACAACCCACCAGGAGTCTACCGAAGCGGAGTCTTGGAACTCGCAGAACTGAGCTTCCGTGCCATGAGGCCCCAAGGGAGGAAGTTCAGGATTCCCCAGAGAACCACACCCAGGTAGGAGCCCAAGGGGCAATGATAGCCTGCAGGAAGACACCAGGCTATGGACGGTCAGCTTCCTAAAAAAAAAAAAAAACAGCAGGGTGTGGGTGGAAAGGGAATGTTCGCCACATGGTTTGGGCCACAGCCATCAAAATAGAAGCACACCAGCAAATATCACTATCCCTCCAAGCACACAAAATCCCACAAAATACAGTGAAACACATTGCACTACAAAGTGTAGCAAACAAAACAGACTGTGACAATGTGTGACACTGTTGAAAATCCTCCGTTCAACGTTCAACGCTTCTCAGGAAATATATGGAAATATCAACTGCCCATTTCAACCCATGGCAGCCCCCACCCATCAGATTGGTAAACCCCCATAGAGCCGACCTTTCGCCTTCGCCATGGAACTTCTGACATTCACCTCCCGTTTCGGTTGAACCTATTACTCCCCGCGGCGCCAAAGCCAACACCGCGCGCGCCAACTGACAAACGACTGGCGCCTAGGTGTAGGGCGCCCTGGCGCTCCGCTGCGACCTCTAGGAAGAACTCCAGCCTGGTCGGAGAAGGATCCTAAAGCCCAGTGGGCCAGGTTGGATGTCAAACCCTGCAACGTCCAAGCATGGGCCTGGCCACGTAAATCATTTGGATCCTTCAACAAGCCCTGCACAAATGTGAATGACCATCTTGGAGACTAGGGGGATTGAAATTGAATGTCAACGGTGGACAGCACCGTCCATGCGGTCGGCACCGGTTTCACCAGCCAAGGCTACGTAGTTCATCACATCTCCCCCCAAAAAGAGATCCAGAACTGGCTGCACCTGAAACATATCGTACGTTCCGACCATAACACTAACTAGGAGGTGAGAGTGCCGCCAAGAACAACACCTTAAGTCTCCAAGAAGCACCTGCAAGGGATGCGCTTCCCTCGACTTTGATACCACCATATTCGACTGTTGGTGCAATATCCTGGACCAAAACAACAATTAAATGCAGAACCTGGCAAAGCCATCTTTTCAGCATAAATCTTCGATTCAAGTGGTCACAAATCTTGATGTCACGGAGCACAAATCCTGGATTCCATATTATATTAAACAATAACGTTCATAAACTGTTTCACTCGTCTGAACCAATTGACTGATATGCCTATCGCCATCTGTCACGTTCACCTAACCAAAAACCACTCCCATCTCCGGTCAATCACACCATCCCATCCCCACTTCCGACTCTTTGGTGCCCGGCCAGCTGCAAATGGACTGCAAGCCCGGCCGCCGGCCGCCGGTCGAAACCTCGACAACTCGCACGAAGCGAAGCGGCAACCGCAGCTGGTTGAACCGGATTCCTGGCCCCACCATTGGTTTAATAGCCCGAATCCCGAAAAAAACATTGCTTTTCTAGGGGTTTACATGGTGTACGCATGTGTACACTAGGTCGACCACTTTTCAAATGGTCTTGGATGCCTTGTATAAGGCCTGTACAGCACGCAGAAAGAATTTGTTCAATACTTGAATCGTCCTCAATGTTCGCAGTCAAATGCAGCATTCCTCCATTTTTCCGAAGAAGGACACCTCACAACATTCCTGGGGCGAAACTTCCGTGAGTGCCGAAGAAACATAAGACCTGCGCTCACCCGTATGTGGGGGTTCCATGTATTTCACGGATCTTGTAGAGACCCCTCTAGACTGGGGTTTCAAATTCTCACCATGAGTGAAACATTGGCAATCGCAATCCCTCTTGGATCCGCCCCAAGAAACTAACTCTGGGGACTCATATCCTACCATCATTAGGTTTTGTTTTTGAGATTACCCACACACTCCATGTATGGATTGAATATATGAACCATGCCTGTGGGGTAGATACCATACATGGATATGTATGGAGTGTTTGGATGAATAGATCTCCTGCAGTTTCCGCATGTACACATGCTTCAGTCCGGTCTCAGGGCTTTAAAGCGGTCTCCAAATGTGGCTGGAGAAACAGCCAGCTGCTGGAAGCAGCTCCATGTGTGAAAAAACAGGAACCTTTGAACTGACCTTGAAAAGAACCATGAACTTACTTCGAGATGCGGGATGCTCAGCAAAAAAGTCCCCAGAAAGGCGGCCTGTGCAGCATGTTGAAGCATGCGCGTGCAACAACAACAACAACAACAACAACAACAACAACAACAACAACAACAACAACAACAACTACTACTACTACTACTACTACTACTACTACTACTACTACTACTAC